ATGATTCTCATCCATCTAGGGTGTCTTTCTCCTAAATCACATTAACTGCAAATCTTTCTACATAATAAGTTGTTTTTGAATTCTGGTACATCTGCTAGCTTGAGAGCAGACTGTACTGAGACTGGTCTCTAAGAGACTTTAATTATGTATATCATTCACATGATGGAAATTCTCAATGATCAAATGCCACCTGCTAACAAAATTTCCTCTTGTGAGCATTACTCCAAAGAGAGTGTTAGCTGTCACATTTTGGAGGTGCACTATCTTAAAACTCTGCTATTGTACTGCATCTGTGAAACAAAAACCAAAATTCTAATGTGTGCTCTCAGTTGTGTTTCGGTCAATAAGACCAAAAGATTTTTGCTGTGGATACACAGCACTTTGGAAAATATGATTTTTTCAAGATGATTATCCCCAATTCTAGAGATTCCTGTGCTCATTTTTCTATTCTTTTTCTTCTCCTATTTTTAATTACAAAACTAAATGTACACCTACATCAAAATAAATCATATAAAACAAGCAAGGACAAGCAAGTTTCTGTAAAACTTACTGGAAATCTTTGAGACAGCCAGTGGTACTACTGGTCATATCGTGTGAGGCATCTTCATTATAAAACTCTTTTTCTGTGGGTCATCATAGACTGTTAGCCAAAAAACGTTGTTTGATAAATCCATTTTAGTATATGATCATCAGCTAAAATGCAGCTGATCACTGATAAGTGAGGTGTAAGATGAGAGTTCCTCCTTCCATTTTTGATTTAGCAAACCATGTTTTTCAGAAGTATCTAGTAATTCCCCGGGGTCTTGGTGCTTTGTTCAGATCAGCCTCAGAAGTCTTGCATTCTGAATCTTACCTGCTGAGTTACATGATGTTTGATTAGGATATTATCTACTGTTTAATTCAGACACTGTGGTTACTAAATGATGCTGAAATTAGTTTCTGTCTGTAAATATGATATTACTGTCATATTCTTTGATAAGGTTCTAGCAGCTATTTTAATCAGTGAAGCATTAGCAAAGATGTCGATGTATTTTCTTTGAAACATTAGTTTATCTAAAGAATACCTTTAATTTAGGACGTTTTTGTTCCATTAAACATATTAGAGAACATTTTCAAGAAAGAAAAAACACAGAGAAATCTTTCCAGAGAGTAAAACTTGAAAGCCATTTAGTTTCCGGAGCTGATGTTTATATAGAGAGATTACAGATTGAACAAAGCTGTTCAATTTCTACTGCTATTCCCAAATGTACAATAGACGTTGTATAGCAAGTCTACTGCAAAATCTCCAAAATTTTGTTTGAACCTTAGACCTACAAATCATATCAGACCAATGTTTGAAATACCATATTTTCAGGATTTGTTTAAACTCACGTAGCTATACTCTGTAGTAGAGTGCTGGGGCACCCTTGCCTAATGGCTTATTATGAACCTCCTAGGGACTGAATGGCATGAAAGGTGCTATTGAGCTTAAAGGGGTATGTTCCTAAAGGGATGTGATTTTTTTCTTGCCTCGTGTAGTTTAGATATCATTTGCAAATACTGTGTACTGATAGTTTACTTCAAAAGAATGTTGATTGAGACCTGAGGAAAAGACATAGCTATGTGCTAAAAGAGCAAAAAGAATAGAGTACTGCTTTTTCTATTTCACTGTGCTACATCTATGCTGGCTGCCAGATGCTCTTCCTAGCTTGAATTCAAAACTGATCCACTTACCCTGTGCAGATAAGAACAGAGTTGGATCGTGTTTGTTGAAATATTTGGTGTCTTTTAATTAAAAAAGAAGATTTTCACTATTCTTTAGCATTTGTCAAGAGCAGGTAAAAAAAATACTGTTCATTCATCTCAGAAGAGCAGACCTTGTAAAATCATATTCACTTTTTGAGAACGTAGACAAGAATATAACTGTCTTCAAACAATTCTGCAAACAGAAAAGGATGCTCCACAGTTCTCTACAGCTAACAAATAATTTTGTTAGCTATAGCATATATAAAGATAAGCAGTAGCAGATATAGTTGCTTTAAATCAGCTTTTAGGATCACCCAAGAAAGGTTGATGTCACAATCCGGTAATAAAGAATGAACTGCATATCCCTTTCTAAGGAGCAGAGTTTTCCAAACACTCCAAGGAAAGCAATCTCCAAGAAAAGCTGCTTCTAGTGTGGCTGCCAGCTCTTAAATGAGGTTAGAAAAGGAAAGCCTTCCAGTCACAAAGGTGAATTGCTACCATCTGCTGGCTATGCCCCTTCACCAGGTGCTCAATTACTGGTTCAAACCATGACCTCACAGTTCCCATAAAGCCTATTGCAAAAAAAAAACAATGTCTAGAGCAGTCCAATGCTTTTGGACCTCTGAGTAAGTGGATTATTTATGCAAACTTTTCAAGAAGACATAAATATAAAATAGGTCTTCAGCAACTCCTAAAAATAGAGTACTCTGAGTTTTGGTACTGATGTGCAAGAAGGTTGGATTGTGAAGTCTCATCCATCTCTTGTAGTGAGTCCCCACAGTCTATTAAAATTTATTTATTGCTTTATTTACACTGCAGTAGAAGTGAATTCCTTGCTTTCGTATATCAAGAAGTTCAGTCACCAATACTAGTGGTTGCAGTGTCTTTGACTGCATTTCTAGTCAAGGTTACTAGAGCAACCATATTTCCCTTCATATTCTATGTATGTCTTAATGATGTTAGTTTGCTTCCAATAAGTTTAGGCATAATTCTCATGACACACGTATACCTTCTCAGTTGCAAGATTTCAGATGTGAATCTTTAAAAAGAAAGTGACCTAAAGCTCTGGAGATTATCATCTCAGGCTGACTGGCAAGGACTGTTAAGGATAATGTTTATATAATGCCTAGAAGTGATGTTTGAAATAAGATAACTTTTTCCAGAAATCCCTCTTCATAATTCACCTGAAAAACAGAACCATTAATGAGGTAGTAGAAATACCAGAGAGATTTTGTTGCTTTTGTAGTTGTTTTTGAGAAAAAAATAACTATGATAACCTGTTGTAATACAAACTTCCTTCCCCAACCACATATACTGTCTCTTAATTAAAAAGGTAAAACCAAGACATTTGCAAAGCAAAAACAAATAAGGCAAAAAGCTCCCCAATTTTAATTACTCTAATATAACTAATTGTTCAGCTGTTTACTACTTTTTAGTTGTTTAGTTATCTACAGTTTGTGACTTACAGCAAGTAACTACTTTAAGGGACTTCAGAAGTCATGATAAGTTATGCCTCCTGTGAGACTGACCAATTATTCAGTTCTTTTTAAATAGCATTAATTTACTAACATTTATTTAAATCTAGCGTGATGTGTCTGGATGTAAATGTTATATACCATCAGACAATCCCTGTAGATCAGGGTCCTAATAAACCTTCTCTAGACAATTTTCTGTAAATCGTTCAATCTTACTTGCGTAAGTATGGTGTTAGGAATCTAAGTTTAGGCATCTTGGCATGAAGAGAAGAATAAAAGCATTCGCATTTTTTATCATCAAATGTTATTAAAATCAGCTGTTGTTAATTTCTCTGCTCTCAAAAAAAAAAAAAAAAAAAATCAAGATCTTACTAGAAAGGCTGTCCAGATATTTACACAAAATTTACTATATATTTTGTATTTCAAAAAATGGAAAAATCACATTAATTCTTTTAACATAAATTATGTCTTGAGAATATATTAAAATATGTTGTCCTAATAATTGATGACTTATATGAAAGAAGGAAAGAATGAGCTTGAGGGCTCTATTTAGATCCTGTCTGTTATTGTAAATGGTGCTGCCAATTTATTTATTTTTTTATATCCTCCAGCAACAGAAGATTATTGTGATAAATGATTCATATCACTGCAATATACACCTTTTAAGATTTCCATATCTGGCAACCTATAGGCACTTCTTTAAGGCTTCAATAGGCTTCTTAGCCAGATAACGTGGCTGAAAGCTGCTTCATGATTAATTTCATCTGAATGTGGTAATTATCATACTTTGAAGTAATGCCTGCAAAACATGCTTTCATAGAGAGTTAGTGGAAGCTGAGGATTAACCTAGAAACATTTCAGTTCAGAGCAGCATATAACCCAAAATGGAATGTGTTTTGCATTGCATTTTTGAAGACTTTTTATTAGAATACTTGGCAGTCATTTGCAATTTTTTATCTCATATCAGCTATTTCACAGTAATTTTGCGAGCTGTGAAATTGAAGTAAGTTTATATTGTGATCAATAACACAAATCTTGGTTTTGAAAGCTACTTGTTTTGGCAGCTTCTACCCTGAAGTATTTCTTGTTTTAGTACTTAAGAGCAAAATTGATTTATCACTCGTATGTTGTGGTCAGAAGGACTATCCTGCTTATATTCTAGGCACCCTGTTAATTATTAGAGAGGATGTACTCCCCTTCATGAGCACTCAAAGAAGCATCCTCTACCATTATTACATGCATCTCTTCTTCCTATCCTAGCAGCAATCTTTCAGACTGGACTGGAGGGACATCTCAGATGCTTTGTCTCTTTATTCTTTAGATTTAAATCTTTGATTTGTTATGATATGTGGGAAGCATATGGCGACTAGTTTTGGCTAGGACTGAGCAGAGCCTTCCAAACTAGGCGTCAACTGCATGGTGTCAACAGTGGCAGGGAGACTAATGCTTTTAATTGTTCAACTCTGTTCTTCCCTTACATTTCTAAAACCTGAGAATGTGCACATGGTATGCAGCCATGGCTCAGTTAGTACATGTATGCCATTGTAATTCGACCATATGTTGAATCTCACTAAATTGAAAATAAATATACACCTTCACACAGATTTGTTACATTTACACTTGCATTTAAATTAGTACAACTTCATCATGAAACAGAAAATAAATGATTCACCTGTATCATTCAAATGCACTTTGCAACAATAAAGCACGAGCTGAAATTTTCTGTTCATCTATATACTTTTTGCCTATATAAGTTTTAATGCATATGTTGTTTTTTTTTCTTTTCTTTTCTTCTGACAGATAAAAAAGAAGCTGCTGTGACCAAAGAACTCAGAAGTAAGATGCTACTTGTGCATTAGGTCATGATCTCTTTTACATGTCATACAGTTTCAAACAGCACATTTCAATAATCCACAATAATTGTTATTGAATTGTAGAAATCACAAATAATATAGTAGCTACACTATTTATAATTGAAAAATTACATGTCTAGTTTTCAGTTGCCTCCTGCTACCTGAAACCATTCTTATTCTACTTCTATTTTCACATTTCTCTTTGTGACTGACAGTTTTGCCTTCCTCTCCTTTCTGTCACTGTCTTTGAAAACAAAGATTTCATGGGGAAGAATATGTCAAATGAGTTCTCAGCTGAAGATGCTCTCAGTGGCAGCAAGTTTGGTAAATGGGCTGAGAAGACAGAAAGTCTGGTGTGCCAAAGGATCATCAAATTTATCTTCACAAATGCAAAACCACAGTCCTGCCTGCCCATCTAGTTATCACAAATATGGAAAGGGAACATTAAAGGCACAAGAGAGGTAGGGGCTGGGCTCTTCTGCATAAAGAACAAAATTGCTCTGGGAACATGGCATTGTTAACAAGGGAATAATTAGACCCTTTTCTTCAACAAAGCCATAAGCATCAATGCCCCAGTACAGTAATAATAGTATGACATAGTTACACTGGTACACAGACAAGATTTCATCTGCTCTTATCTCTGCTCTGCAACTATGGGACTTTGAAAGCTCATACAAGTTCATGATTAAAGAATGCACTAACTCCAGATGCTATATACAATACTTACTACAATGTTCTTAGCCTTAAGAAGGCAGAAGAATCCCCTCCTATTCTTATTTTCATCTGAAAATTTTTCATATAAATAGGCAAAATCCTAGCACAGAAATAATTTGTAAGTTATGAACTAAAAAGCATATACTTCCAAACAATAAAAAAGTTGAAAACATTTGGTACTTTGTTTCAACATTAGTGAGAATGTAAATAAGTAATATACAAAACTTACTGTTGAAAAAAAAAAAAATTGCTCCAAACAAAGTATTCCAAATGTAAATTAAAAAAAATAATAATAATAACAGAGCAAAAACTTAAAAATATAACTTAATTTGTTTCACAGATGTTATGAAAACCAAAATCAAGTCTTGTTGGTCAACAAGTTCTAGCTAAGAGCTCAGAAGGAATAGATGCAGGAGTCCTGCAGTTCTCTATGAAATCCACCTAGACAATTGTGTAACATGCATACTGTGTCTGCTGTTTCTTCTGCAGGAACAGGTACTCAGGAAAGTAGTCCTTAGGAGAATTCTTCAAGGTTTTCTACATATTCCTCTGAAGGAGGAGTGAGCACCCCAAGTAGTTACAACACTATGATAATAAATAAGTTAGGATGTAACTATCCACTGCAGATTTTTATATGGATGGAAACAAAACAATCTCACATATGCAAAACTATATTTTATTTTCATATTTTGTTTCACAAGACAATCTGATACATCTTCTATGAAGTTCTCAAAAGACTGGAGGGGAATAACTCAAAATTGCATTCCTGATAACCACATTCTTTTTCTTGGTGATAACTTTTGACAGATGTGAAGGATTAACTAACATTTTTTTGACATTCAGTAATACAGATTGTGATGGAAATGATTAATTATTTCCTCTCAAAATATGGAAATGCGAATTTTAAGTTAGATGATCTTCTGGTTGATGTGAAAATCTGGAGTTAACTTTTAGAAATTTATTATTTTATACTGGTTTAAGTACTGTCTATTTTATCAGTTCCTGAGGATAAAAAGAATTAATTAAACACCACTAAAGAGAAAATAAATCTAGAAGGCATTTCAGGTTCTTCTACACAGGGTTAAGATTCTTCATGTTTGCTTTGGGAATCTATGTGCTGTGTTCCCTGTTTGGGACTTCTTTCCGCAAGGAAATGTTCTACCTCAAGATAGAGAATATAATGCAAATGTTTTATGAGAACAACAAACAAGCACAAGCTAAGTAGCCCTGCTTCCCTAGAAGAACCAGGCAATTACTTTTTCAAATGCAGTACCAAACCACATGAAATTGTTCCCTCATGTTCATCATTGTCAAGATTCCTCCATGCCTATGTGGACATACTTTGCAGAGGTAGTGCAGTTGTTGCTGTTGTTTTTCCATCAGGGAGAGATTCGGATTAGGGGAATGGATAGCAGTTTGAATAGCTGTGGGAACCAAGGAGGTGCCACTCTGTATCTGCCACTCTGCCAAGGGCAGATACCAGCTTCTGCAGTCTAGTTCAGGAGCCCTTGCTCACACAGGTGCAAGACCAGACATGGAGGCTCTCTGCTCCCAGCAGCTGCCTGGGTGGGGAGACCCAGCCCAAAGCCTTGGTTACCTGCCACTCTGTGCTTTGCCAGTGAATATGGAATAATTCAGTAGAACCAGATAAAAGAAGGGATTCAGTGTCTTATGACAAGAGCTTACTACTCCTGCCCATTTTGTTGATGCCTTTGAGTTACTTGAGAGCAGCTCTGCTCACTTCTCTTTGGGTAATCTCTTTGTCCAACTCTTCAGTGAAGAAATTACTGCAGGCTGTTTGTGCCTCACTGGAAGCCTTTCCTCACATTTCTGTTTTTTATACCAGTTTGTAGTGATTGTTTTAATTTGTTTTGTTTGTTTCATTTTTCAGAGCCAACAAAAGCCCCTGCAGCTTCTCCAGCTACTAAAAAAGCAGCAGCACCAGGTAAAGGAGCAAAAGGTTCACTTTTCTCATATTTCTTGTACTTATTTTTTAACCAGTTTATTGCATCATAGCACCATCTGCTGGATTATAGAAAAGACACTGTTTTGGTTTTGTTGGATTTTGTTGTTGTTGTTGTTTGTTTTTTGTTAGTTTGATCTAAATTATTGTGCTATTCCAGGCAAAGGGTTGTCTCCATGGCCTGTCCACTGTCCCTGCTTCTTCTTGCCTTTAGCAGAGTTCTTTTGTTGACCTGTGCTCTTTTTCCTCTTTCTTTTTTTTTTTTTTTTAAGAGACTGTTCTTTAACTTTCTTTCTCTAATTCCAACCTTTTCATTAATCTACTTCACACATTTACCAAATAAGAGAGTAGAGAGTGATACCTTACACTGGTAGAGGAGACTGGGAACTGGACAGGGGTCAATGCTAGCCAGTAACATTTTGATTGTCTCTATTGCAAAATGACTTTCAGACTTGAAATGCAGCTGATACAGACTGGCTTATCATAGAGCAGTTAACTGTGTGAAGCTGACCTAAGAAGTGCTTTTTCCTCAAAGATGCTCCCAGTCCCTGCCTTCTGTGCATGCTTTATGCCATGTTCTCTTGTGCTAGCACAACTGGATAAACAGTATAAACCACATCATTTCCATGGGCTAGTTAAAAAAATGTCTTAGAAATGTCTGTGTGGCACAGGGTATTCTGTCTGAATCATTTCACTTAGTCTGACTCAACAAACATTTATGTCCATGATAATTTCTCAAAGCAGCTTTGTTGCCAGGGTGTATCATATAGCTGGATTCTTAGATGTCTCGACACTACACTGCAGAAATAATTACGTTAGAACCATATGCTTATAATTAATTTATTCCACCTGCATTCATCCAATATTTGTGTTCTTTTTTGAAAAATGTTCCAATGAGTCTGTTTCTTGGCAAGAATGGCGATTGCAGCAATCTGCTTGTGACAAGGAAAAGAGGAAACACTGGCATGGCTTATTATGGAAAAATTAAATGGATTTGTCTCTTCTGATACAATTCTAAAAATCTAATCTTCCTTAAAAATGGGACAAAGCAGTAATTTTTTTGACTTTTACTTTATTTTTCCCATCCCCAGATGTAACTGTTCTCTGAAAATTAATTTATCCTCGGTATAAATCACCACAGCAAATATTAAATATGCTTGTTTGGCAACATTTTAACTAGACTGCTGCCTATTAGTACAGTAAATTAAATACATTATCCAATTTCATATTTCAATTTCTTCCACATATCTTATTACTTTGCAACCTGTACACCAGAGTGCCTAAAGCTGAAGGTTTATTCTTGTTAACAGACTGAGAGCACAGACTGAGAGCACAGCTGGTCATCTTCAGTGCTTCTACACCACATATGTTCTTGATCTTAATATCACTGGTAAAGAAATCCCTGCCTAACACACTGTGCACTATTTTTAGCTTTATTTTTTTTCTTTTTCTTTTTTTTTTTTTTGTATGGAGAAAGCAGAGAAAATTACTGTGGAATTTTGAAGTTTATGAGAACTTCTCAGTCTAAAAACTGATGTGTGCTATGGGAACCCAACCTCAATGACTATCTGTTAATTGATAGTCAAAGTGGACATTTTCAAATGTACTTATATATAACTGGAAAGATTTCCTCTCTGAAGCTGAGCTGGAAAGAGAACTTGACTTCAAAGAAAAGTGTAATAGTTTTGTAGAATCATTAAGTTTGGAAAAGTCCTCCAAGACCATTAGTCCAGTCATCCCCACCATGCACTAAACCATGTCCTTCAGTGCCTCATCTACACATTTCTGGAACACCATCAGGGATGGTAACTCCACCACTTCCCTGGACAAGTGCTGTTATCCTACAGGGAGAAAAAGGAGAGCAAGTACAGGGCAGTGACAGGCAGGGATAGAAGTATGTGAAACATGCCCAAGAGACACAGGGAACTGTTTGGTAAGAACAGAGAGGTTGCTGGTTTTCCTGGTGGGCAGCAAGGAACTTCAAAACCACCAAGCCCCATGTACTCCCTTAGCTAGAGTCAGGAGTCTGCATGTGCCCACCATGAAATACCCAACGTTACACACATTGCTGCAAATTCTCTTAGTGCCAGTGACTGTTTCTCCCTCATGATTTGCTTGGTTTAAAATCAAACCCAACTCTTTCTGCCATTATAAAAACTTAAGTCCTGATTGCAGCTAAGAATTTCCCTGGAATGGTCTTGCAATTTTTAATTTGGTTTCATAGTGTATTCAACAAATTTTGTACTTTCACATAATTGCATAATTGCTTTTAATGCAATGTAATTTAATGTAATGTGTTTTTAATGCCTAATTAGCCCTGTCTTCCTCTTCACACACATTCAAAAAATCTTATTCATTACTCCCCTTGGGTTCATAATTTGAGCACCATTTGCCCCAGAAAATCAGTGAAATTTAGTTGGTATTCAGAAAGAATAAAATCAGTATGACAGAGAGGGCTCAGACAGGGCTGCATCCAGTTTCTCAAACTCACTCCATCAATTGTACTAGAAATATTATTATTTTATTATGCCTCTAATTTCTTCACTATTGGTAAGAAGCAAGGAAAGAAGAAAAAAAGAAAAAAAAAAAAAGAAAAAAAAAAAACACCATTGTATAGAATTCCTTTTGAACAGCAGAAGTTTTCTTTTGGTCCAGATTAGCACAATTGTTCCTCAATCTCACCTTAACTTTTGGAGTATCTAAATATAACCTCTTCTCTGAATTGTTTGGTTTCTTTCTGGTCTTAAAGGTAGAGTTACAGGTTTGGCTATCTTTGCACAGTAGACAGTTTTGCACTAAACTGAAGAAGCTGGGACTTAATCCTCACCTATTTGTCCCAGAGAGTTTTCTCTGATTTGTTAGTGAAGCTTAACAGCTGACTCTGCTCCTTGTCTGCAAGGAATGCATCATACTCTCAGCAGTAAATACCTTGCAGCTATTGTAGTCTGCCACTCAACCATTTCTTAATATTCACAAAAATCTACTGCGTGGATGTTGATAAATTCTGCAAATTCATCCAGCCTACTAAGATTTTCATTCCCACTCAAGTCTAAGAAGATATTGCAGACCAAAAGGTCTTATATTGTCCACTGGATCATGTAAGCTGGGTCATTATCCAACTCTTAATGGTATCGGAAAAATGAATTCTTGACTTATATCACAATGAGGGAAGAATTTTCCAGTATTAGAAGATTTTACTTTACTACTTTGGATTTTCACATACTAGATTTATTTAAATGAAGCATGAAGTAGCTTATTTTACACTAAACTTCCTAATCTGAAATCCAGTTTTTGTCCCTCCATTTTTAAAAACTTAAGTTACCTAGAATTGAGGATATTTTTTACTATTTTTTTCCTAGTTTTGCTAGGATTATGACATACCTAGTCTCCTAGCCTGGCATATTACTGTTACATTTGAACTTTCCTTACAGAATGCTGCATTTCAGCATCAGATTAAAATAATTTCCTATACTTTTGCTCACACTATAGTTATGCTATACTAAAAGTATACTTAAAAATGCATCTTTGTTTCTTTGACTATTCCAAGATATTATTAAATCCCACAGTGCAGAAATATACTGTTGCAATGCTAACACTAGGATAGCATTACTTCAAGAACAAGGCAGGGGGAGCAAGTTAACTACAAAAAAAAAAAAAAAGAAATGATTTGGTATTTTAGTAAATTAAAGTAGCAGTGATGGAAAGCATCAAAATTAAATGCTATTTAAATACAAATGAGAATTAAAAGGATTAGATGTCCACTTTTTTTTAATGGAAATAGGCATTTTAAGGGGGTTTGTTCTGTGGCTGGTAAGATTTCATAGCCCTGAATTTCTTTTATGATTAATTTCTCTTTCATAACGAATTGGACCCAATTTCAAAGCATTTATCATATCTTTCAGTCTCTCTTGAGTCATGTGTTCAAGCTGTGTTGAATCCAGTCTATCACATAAACTGTATATACAATTATATTCTCATATATTCATCTTTGGTAATTGGTATCACCTTCATTTGGATAGAAAGGGAATAAATATGCCTCACCTTGCCCATTGAGGCCATAAGAAAAAAAAAACTTTATTTTCAGAGAAGGGGTATAGTCAAAAAAGGTAAGGTGGACTAGAGTTTTCTATAAAACTTATGATTATATTATATATATAATTATATTACATATGGGGTTTATAATGTTTTTGAATTTTGAAGTACTATGTTAGTAAGGATAGAGAGTATAAATAATATCCTTCACCCTGAGCTTTCTTAGGTATGAATTTTTTATATCATAGAGGTCTACTATAGATATGTCTCTGCATCAACATGTTGCGGTGTTGTATCAGAAGTACAAAACATGCTATTACCAGTGTTCAGCACTAGCTCATTCTGCAGTGCTACAAATAACATGATGAGTTTTCCCTGATGTGGCAGCTTCTTGGAGATTTATATGTTTCAGAAATATTAGTTGCAGATTTTATTTCAGACATGCTCTAGACAGCTTCCAGCATTTTACTGGCTGTCAGAGCTGCACACTTCTAGCATCTTCTGTTGATGTCCTCCTGCATGATTCTGTCTCTTTAGATACCTCTTATAAGATTCATGACCTAGTTAAGTTAGTCATAGAAGCCTTTAAAAATATCTCACCACTTGTATGTCTTTCGACTCACACTTTGAGAACAAATACACAAAATCTTTCAGTCATTGCCTCCTTCTACCGTTTTCTTATTGTACAGTCAACATCAGTACTGAGCTCCAAGTCAGGCACTACTCTTACAGCTTCTGTTCTAAGTTCAGTATCTTTCACTTAGATTTATTCCTGTAGGATCTTGGTGCATTACATTTTATAATCTAGTGGGGTTTTTTGTTGTTTTTTGTTTTTAATCAATTTACTAATCTAAACTGCATATCATGTTTACCTAGTGACAGGTAAAATCTTGAACTGCAATTTATGGCAATTTTCTTTCTTTTCTGAAATATTCTAAAATTTTCAGTGGTTTACAGATCTTGAAGATATTGTCTTGTCAAAAGAAGATGCATTACGAACAAGTTGAAGCATGAGCAAAGAGTAAAGACTTAGAATTACCCAAATTATTGACACTCTCCAAACTATCCTGAGTCATTTTACTTTTTACGGTAAAGTGAGAGAAGGTTAGGCAAAATTGAATTACTTCTTGCTGTAGTCAAAGAGCATGCACACACCTGCTGCGGCTGATCTGTGGGTGCACCTTCCCATTGTCATGCAACAAAAGCTGTCAGTGTTGTTTTCTTAGGAGTGACCAAATCTACTCTTCATTTACATAAACATGCACTTTAGGAGTATTGACTTGAGCATCCATATTTACATTTACATATGAGTCCTTGTGAGATGTTTTTCTCCAAGAGAAAAGATTTGCCAGGTTGTCAGGACAAACACTTGAAATCTGTTCTCTTTTCATTTATTCCTTATGACAGTTCCTCTTCTCTTGATTATCACAACATTTGTAGAAACGAGTAGTACATTTCAGACTTGAGAGAGGAAAAGTATCTACCTCTCTTCCCAGAGACAGTTTCATCCTTAGGCTTCAGTATAACCATACTGATTTGGTACAGATACAATGTGATTCTACATGAAAGGGCTCTGTGGGCTCCTGAGACATTTCTCAGTAGTGATGTCTTCCCTCTTCAGTTATCACTTTCTGTTCATGAAGAAAATCTGGAAATTCAATAGATTGGACTGAAAACATTTACATTTTTTCTAGACCTCTTTTCTATTTCCTCTTTGTTGCAAAATGTTTTTCCCACATGGTAGGAGATTTACAATACAAAGGTAATGATACAGAAATCTGCAGAAAATGATCTTCCTTATCCAAAGAGTTGAAAAATGCTAATATAAGCAAGTGTGTGTGACATGATTTCACCAAAGGTATTTTCCAAGTGTGTTCTTATTCCAGAAAGAAATATATTAGTTCAGTTCATTATCTTTATAATCTGAACTGTATGATGGCAGTGAAATTGACAGTGGATTTCCCTACACTGATCCAGACAGGGAAGCAGTAGTCAGATGTAGCAGAACAAATAATTCTGGGGAGCAATTTGAAAAATTTTGAGTGGTGTAGTATGAAGCATTCTTGTGTGGATTATCTCCGATCTAAAAACATGATTCAGCTCATATTGCAATCTTTCCTTTCACTGAGAGAGTCTAAAGGAAACTTTTCTGCATCTGGCAGTGGTTTATGCTTACAGTACTCTAATTGAAAGGATATCTTGAAGAGCTTTATTACTCTATTTTTATTTGGTTTTATTTTATAGCCAACAAGCTATAAAGAACTGAGAGGGGAAATGACAGGCACGTAGCCTATAAAGCAAAGATTACATGACTATAACACCAGCCTAATTTTTTGCTTTGAGGATTTAAGTATTGTAGACACTACACAGAATGTGACAACAGTAGGCTTTAACTAGATTCATTAAAATACTTGTGGCAAAACTAAACAGTACAGAACCACCTTTTTCTTTGCAGCTACAGAGCACAATCAAAATCACATTGGTTTTTGATGTTACATATACCTGAGAATAAGAAAAGCACTTGAAATGTTATTTATGTAAACTTTTTCCTATCTGCATGCATCCACAATAGAATATTTTTAAAAAACCTTCTTGAACGTATCTGGATTAGAGCATAACATACACACATATGCACACATAGATATACAAACCAGAATAGAATGTCAATTCTTATCTCCTGGGAGATGGCAGAGGGCCACCATTTCTGACTGTCCACCCTGCTACTGAAGATTAAAGTATACCACAGCAAATGTACCAGTCTGGATGCTTTTCAGGACTGTTGACACTTTTTAGGAAAGAATCTAGGGAAAATTAAGAATGCAAGATCAGTTTCTTTGCTGTCTTCCACCTGTTCCTGGGATGTCCAGGAATGTACTACCAGTAATGAACAAAAAATGCCCATATGTGGTTTAAAGAGCAGTTTATACATAACTTTGCCATTTTTCATAAAAGGGAAAAGCCATTTCTCGAAATCTTCAGAGTTTACTAAGATGATAAAATACCAAACTAAATCAAATCTCTATTTCATGCATGTTAGAAAAATAATATACTACTTGCAGAAATTTCCAAAAATGAAAACATTTTGTAAATTTCTTTACAAAAAAGTACAAAAAAGCTTTATAGATAAAAGTAATGACAAATATCATGGCTAATGCATAACGTGCTTCGAGTTGACAGTATCATTAGTTAGCATCATACTAACTAGCTGCTATCAAAATAAATAAATAAAATTGAAACCAAGTAATAATATGAAGCCAAAAAGAAAAGATTTAGATGTGAAGTTCATGGTTCATGCAATTAAATGTTTCATTTCATTCCAGTATAATACCAGGGGAAGTCGCACTTAAAATATCATATCCCCTATTTCACAGAAGTGCTGCTTGACATGCAGTATTGCTACTTATTGACTTTTTCTTTTCTAATGTACTTTGTGATAATGTGCTTCTTTTCAAGTGCTTTTAGTAGTAACGCTATTATAAAAATCTCTCCTGAACTTCCTTGATATTTACAGTTTGAGAAACAGGAAACAAAGCTAAACAACTGAAAAATGTTATATTTTGCAAAAACACTTGCCAAGGTTTGCTAATGTCATATTGTTCTCTGATCTCATAAGATCTGACAGCCAGAGGGAAAAATAATTGCCTCGGTATCACTAAAGTAAAAGTACATTACTTTCAGTTTTCAAGAAGCACTCCAAAGCAAAAGAAAAACTGAAAACCCAACAAAACCAACCAAAACTCTTCTTTCACAGAATAAGTCCTAAAATATCTGAATGGAATTGGATACTCCAAAGAGTGCTTGGGCTGCACAAAACAAAGGCCACAGTTGTTGTTAAGATTATGCTCACTGAGTCAGCCAAACCAATGAGTTCCAAACTTCTGTCCTCTCACTTTTTGCTTCTTCTCCTCCTTGGCTTTTACTAGGATTGCCACCTAAGCTAGGACACCATGAGAGAAGCATAAGATTTATCCAGATAATGAACTACTTAGTGCCAATCTATTCTCTCTGCACCATGTATTCATATTGCTGGAAAATTTGTATTTGCAGCTTGTTGCTTGGCCACAGCAACCCAAAGCACAAACTTTTCCATTGACTCTCATGTCATATATTACAATGTGTCAGTAAAGTACCAAAGATAATTTGATATAAAGCTCATATGTAATAAATACATTCAAGTGTGCCTTATGTAACAATATAGAAGCTGGGTCCCTGATTTCAGGCAACTGGTCTTTGTGCTTTGAAGTACAGATTTTGACTGATCAAAGTTGCTTATGAAATTGTCATGACATTACATCATCAGTAAAGTTTTTGGTAAAAGGACAAAAAATGAATCTCTTCTGCGTTTATTTTTTGTTGCTGCTTGTTTGTGTTGTTTTGTTTGTGGGTTTTTTTGTGTTTTTTTTTTGTGTTTTTTTTTTTTTTTTGTTACATCTGAAAACAAACCTTTATCTAGAGGCTATATTTTGCTTTAATATATATATATGCTGGCTTTTCAGATAGGTTTAAAAACAGAATAGAAACGAATATTTGTTTGCAGATTGAACATGCTTTACATGATACAAATATACTGTGAGTAGGAGTGCGTAGTAATGACACATTGCATTTAAAAACTTAATGGTTGTATTTTTTAATAATTGGTATAAGCCTGCCTTTAAAAATACCAATTATTTTCATAGCTCTACATGATGTTTATTTCTTTTAGATGTCCACTTTACGTTTAATATTAATATCAAAAATCAATATTGTATTAATATTGGACATGAATTAATATTGAATGTAAATTCTATTTATACTAATATGTTATTGGTTAAAATATTTTATTTCCTATTGAAATTATTTCTTACTTCTTCTGTTGAAGGATAAGTCATATTTAACGATAGGCTTTATTTTATTGAGGTACAGCATAGTCACTTTGCATATGGAACTTTATACCTTGATTCTAGAGTTAAAGTTGAATATTACTACTATTCCTTGACGTCATACTACAGCATTAATACAAATAATTCACGTAATAAACATGGAGAAAATGTAGCATAGGTAGATGTTTGTATTTAATACAAACTGCTGTTGTTCTTTCCATTAGTCAGCTCAAATATTTTAGATGTAGATACTTCTGTGTAGATCAAATGCTGAACACACCAAAACTTTTACATATGCTATTTAAAAGAATCCGCAGGCACCATATGCCAATTTTGAAAGCTGAGGGTTTTTTTTGTTTGTTTGTTTGTTTGTTTTGTTATTATAAACATTAGTCTTGACTGGTAGATAATGTTGAGTTCCTGAGAGGCAAGCTCAGTAATCTCCCTCTTCCATCTGGTTGGCTGTGTACTCCTTCTCTGAAGGAATTTGGATGCAAATCCTGATCAAAAGAGCCCTTACAGAAATTGCTGTTAAAAATGTGTCAATCCCAGACATAGTTTGCCTCAGGGTACAGGATTTAGGTGGATGAAGTTTTTCAGCTGCATATCCCACTTTACTTTGGTGATTAAGGCTGGACTATGGCTGAAAAGCTGCAGTGGCTGGATGAGATCATAGAATCACATTCTCCATTCCCTATGACAAGAAGCAAGTAGCATATCACAGTTGCACACAGAGGCACATATGGCAGGTTCACAGGCCATCATGAGGTAAACCTGCGTATATTTTAACTCTCACTGCTGCTAGGATTCCCTTTAGCACCTTACAATATGAGTTAAATTCTTTGATGTCCATTATTAGCAGCTAAACTGATCCCGTTTGCATAGCATGAAAACCACCAGGGATAAAGAAATTAAGAATGATAACTATAAAGATTTCATTTTTGTGTACCAAAAGACAGAGAAAGGCTCATCTAACCCAAGAAACAAAAGTCGCTGATAACATGAAAATTACTGTCCAAAGAAAATGAAAGTATACTTGTATATTTTTTCTTTTTTCAGATCACAAGAAAGAAAAATCTGTGGAAACTGGTGAATATTCTCATTTTTTTTTCATGTTACTTTCCAACAGTCTTACTGTTTGAATATAATTCCTGCTATAAGTAAGTATTTGTTTCATGTTTGTTTTAACAGCCAGAACAGCGAAGAAAGACCTAAAAGCACATGGTAAGACCTGTGAAAAACAGTAAGCTTTAGAGTCACATTTATGTGGTTTGATTTTAAGTTCAGACAGGATTAGTTAAAGGGACAAGAGAAGTGAAGCCAGTGATTATGATCCATTGATTTATTCGAATGTACTTGGGCAAGTGACTGACTCTGGAGCAGCCATGCAGGCATTTGGCCTTCTGAAACTGAGATCTTATCAAATGTAGCTGAGAAGAATAATGAGGGTGAGATTGTTTTATTTCATCTTTTTATAGACTTTTGATATTTTCAGGGATGAAGGGGCCCTGCTTGAAGATTAAAGCAAACCTGTAGAAAACAAAACACAAAATAAGAGTTTCAGTATTTGGAGGGGAAGAAAGAAGTAGGCTTTGTTCTAGTATTATTTCAATCATCTACACATTTTATTGCTGTAGCTAGGTGCTATTATTCCTGACAGCATTTTACTTCTCCCTTTTAACTAAATTTGGAATAACCTAAAGATTTTCAACTCCTTTTACTGCAAGTTTGATGACTAATTCATCTAATGATTCTATTTTATCACATACAACTCCTGAGCAAAAATTACCTACAGTAGACAGTCAAACTATAGGGGAAAAAAAAAACTCGGCTATAGCAGAAAAACCTGTCACAGTTCTTCAAAATGAAGGTATCAATAATGGGAAAGGAAAGTGTGGTTGTTCAATTAATTTGGATTTAGGTACTTTAACTATGAAGAATAATAAGCAGATGAAACTGAAAGATATGTTCAAGCAATACTTTGGAAAATTGGTTGCCACCTGTATGAATATTAAAATGGTTCTTTTTCCTAAACTGTGCCTAAAGCTTTCAAGAGCTTGAAGGAAAATGGTCTTAACTTCCCCAAATAACTGAAATAACTAAAAGGAGACTTCTGTTGCATATTCTCCACCCATGTTTCATCCTAAAACTTGTGTTTCCCCCTTCTCTTGTTACCTGAAAATGGTGAAGCTGTGAAACCTTGTCATATACTTTACCTATTGACCTTGATTTCTGTTGCTTGTAAGCTGCAGGTTTATTAGTCAGCTGGCATCACACTATCCAAACAAGTAACATATGCATGTCTCAGTTTTCCCCTGAATAAAAGCTAATAAGTGAGCTACTAGGCTGTTCTGTGTAAATGGGTAGCAGATTGAACAGACGATGAATATATTAGGATATCCTGTTCTATTCTGTAAGTCTGATTATAAGAGGATTTTATGTAATTGTACAATGTATTCCCTGTAATTATTATTTTTTTTTTATTTAACAGCGTCTGTAGAAACTATGAAGTCAAAAAGTGAGTAAATTTTTTCGGTTTAGAAACTGAAATGGAAAAGTACTGGTGTTAACTCTGTTCTTAATGAGAAAGCCTCTTGTGACAAAGATGCTGGCAGGTGTAAAAGAAAGTGGACCTTTTAAATGTTAATGGCTCCTTCCTTGCAACACCTCAAAGTCTCCTGAAAAACAGGTTTCTTTTTCTCAAATTGTCAATGGACTTGCAAACTCTAGTTCTAAAACTCTTTCAAATTCTTTTTTTGACCTTAACTGAGACCACAAGGTTTTTGTGAGAGAAATAAAGGATAAATAATCAGTCTCCTCTGAATCCTAATACAGGGTCATATTTTTCTTTTCATCTGTCCGGCTGGCTCAAAACCAGTGATGGATTAGGTGTTTTCTTTACTGAGTCTAGGAGGTTTTAAAGAGAAGTTCAGTGTTTGCCTTATTTTCATCTGAGAACTGTCAACAGGAGAAGGTGGGAGATATGGAGCTGATATGGTGGCATCAGATTCTTCCCCACCATCTGTTCCTTCCCTGAAGGCACAGAGCACTTGGATTGGTCAGAAGTCTTAGGGGCTTAAATTCAAACTGAATGTTTGCATCTGACTTTTTACATACATAAAAGGATTTAGCCCCAAATTGTCTTCAGGAATGTTACCGCTGTCACATATATCTTAAGAACAAGTGAAAAAAGCGATGATATTACAACCTGCAAAAGCACTTCATCCTGAATCCCTGCACTACCGTGTTTATTCCTATTTAAAGACCACCTTCCTTTACAAACATTCCTCTTGAAACAACAGTGCTATTTTATTAACTGCTCAGAACTTGTGATCCATGGCTTCCAAAGCTGTCTGCCACAAGTCAAACCAGAGAAATGCAAATTAACATGTTTTAATACCCCGCTGTCACTCAAGTATCTTCTTTGAGAGTTTATCTCAGAGGCGTCAGTGGAAGTCAGTAGAGTGCTCTTCTCTAATGTGAGGAAGGGGTGCAGAATCACTTGGAGATTAATGTAAGCAAATTAAAGCTGATGCAGCATTCTCTTTATTGGATGTTTTTAAGCTCTCTTCTTCATGGACTATGTTCATAATGCTGTCATTGCCATGAAGTTAATTTTATTAAGCAAAACAGAAAACAGACTAATTTAAAATTTAATTTGTTCTCCTTTTTCTCCCACCAAACAAAACAGAAAATAAAAGTAGTCTTGATTCTCTAGGTGCCTGAATAAAGCTTTCCACTACTGCTTGAAGACTCTAAGGAAATCTTTTTGATACATTTTATTTCTTCTATAACATTCTATGCCAACATTTCAAAACTGTGAACTCATTCCTGCCAAACTTTTATCCATTAGAATCTGAAAAACGTGAAGAATTTTTCTTGCAGAATTGAGTCAATTTCTGCAAACTCGAAGTATTCTTTCACCACTACTGGGAAATGTTGTCATAGGCCTTTTGTACATCTTGTTCCAACTATATTTACCTATTATTAAGAGTTGTTTTCTTTAGGTCATTTGTGATGGTTACATCCAGAATTAGTGGGGTCTATGAAACAAGAGTCTTTACCTCTGTACCTGGTTCCCCAAGTTTGTCTGCCAAATAGTGTATTTCATATTTCTTTAGATAAGAGACAAGCACTTGCAAATGCAATTTGTCTTTATCTTCTCCCCAGCATTTTGAAGGGTGGAAAAGAACGCTAACATATGAGTTTTAGAATTAAGGCACACTCCTCTTATACAGAGTTTGCTAAGGATAAATGAAAACTGTGTGCTTTGATTATGACTGACAGGAACTATTTTGCTTTTTTCTGCTGTCATAAGAATAGTCTTACAACCAAAAATTTTGGTTTTGGCCATCTCAGTTTAATCATGGGATCAGCCTAATATTGAACCTTGAATTCTCCCATATTTAAGTAAATAACAGCAGTCACCAATCAACATTAAAGAGAAAAAGCTGATTTTAGTTCTGGAATAATTGTTAATTTCTGAAAAATTACTTACTAACAAATCATTTATGTCTATGTTGCAAATTCTGAAATTCAAACATGCCTTGAACTCTAGGGGAAAAAAAGCAATGTATGTTTTTTAAATACAGAATAGAACAGCTGTTCTTCCTACTTTTACTAAGAATAATGTAAAAATGCTGTTGTTCTAGGTTTATTTTTTTACAATGATAGACAAATTTTAGCAGTCTTTAGCAGCAATACCTTACATCAAATCTGAACAAGCTTTTCAGTCCGCTTTTGTTTTGTCTTTTACTGCTTCTCTTTATTTCCTTGTTTTCCTTTTTTGAACAACTCAGAAAACTTTCCCCTATTCTAATACAAATAAGACAAAATCTTATGCAATCTCATTACAAACAGTGATTCTGTGTGTCTAGGCTTTCTATTTATGAAGACTATTGAAGTGACACTAATTACCTTGAGACTAAAAGACCTCTCAACATCTCCAAAGCAGTGTCACCTCCTTCTCAAAAAGCTGAGATGATAAAGCATTGTCCTATTTGTCCTTCCAAACACTGCTCTGCTATGTCTAAATAATGCTACTTGCCAGTTCCCAACAGCTATTAAAGTGCTGATCTATCTCAGCAATTTTTTTACAAACTCTCAGAGAAGCACTGCAACATTGCTGAATGCACTGGTAGCCAGAATAGTATTGGTAGTAATAGCTAGTAGTTTTTGTATATTAGCCTCAATACTGCTCAAGAGTGGCTGGTTCCCTCATTGTAACTGTACTTTGTCTACCTTGCCACACAATTTTGATGATTGTAAATACCAGTTCATCTCAGAAGATTGTATTGATCTTCAGTATCCAGAAGGTACTTTCAATTTTTATTCTATCAGGATTCGTGTTTTAAGACATTGAACAAAATCAAACTGCTTTAGATTAGCTAACAGGATAAACACAGATTAATTTTAGAGTAGCTGAGCAAAATGCATTTTAGAAAATATGTGAATTTATTTCCTAGCACCTGTTTCCATATATTTTTTAAAACATTTATTAAACTTATTTCTCAAAATTTGACTATTTCAGCAAGATTTTTAAAGCTCTATGCTCACAGTGGCAAGACTCAATGCCCACATTTACCTGGACAAGTAGGCAGAATCACTGAATTTAATTTATATCAGGAATCTATTGCCGATTTATTACAAGGCCTAAGTAACATGGATGTTAATAGCAGAGATCTACAATAAATATCAAAATATTTTGCCCCTCTTTTCTGTGTGTTCAGTGACATGAACATGAAGTTAGATACTTGAGAAGGAATTGAGGTTCTATGTTTTTTATGGATACAGTCAGTCATCCCTTCAGCTTTGAATTAACTTTCAGGCAAACTTCAATAAAACATGCTAACTGATGTAACTGAGGTGCAGATGTACAGTATTTCACTGTTTATATGGAACTTGCCTTCAAACACACACTTGCACCACAGCACCTGCAATAAGCAAGAACAAGTGTCAGGAAATGATTGATACATGAGAGCTGGTCCATCCTATTCAATCTTAAGTAATTCATCTGTCCACACCTGACATTTCAGTGAATCTCTGAAAAGAGTTCCTAATGGGAACAGAAGATCCTTCTTCTGGCCTTCTGTCCACTTGCAGACACTGCAGACTGCCCATAGCTGAGCAGGCTTTCTTGGACACAGCAGCTTGACAAGGCTTCCATGCTGCTGGGCTACAAGCTTGGACCCAGGGTGGCCACCAGGGCATCCATGAAAGAGTAGTGTGCATGTCTGGAAGCATTTTTAATTCAGTGAATTGCTTGTCATAAATAACAATAACAGAACGTGACCTCACTATGTACCTTGGCTCTAAAATTCACACTTAATTTACTACCACTGAAACATTCCTGTACTTGTCAGGTTAGAATGCTAACAAGCTGAGTGGATGTTCTGTGCTGATAACACTATAGCTGCAAAGATTTTTCAGTGCTTAAGATACTGATCATTTGAAGTAAATTAATTTTCCAATGTACAACTTGCCATGTATGCTGATTGCTTACTCTTTACAGCTCTTCTAAACTAGGCAATAACAGTGAAGCACATTTTCTGAATGCCACCTTTTCATCTATTGCACCCTGTAGGAGGATACCTTTTCAAACTAAAAGCAGCTATTTTCGCTCTGCGTGATGGCTATAAATTACAACTATAAAAGCTCAACTTTACATATGTGAGATGATGGTAGTTATTTACAGCTAAACAAGCATGTTTACATATTTGCAAGACTTAATCCTGAATAATTAAATTAGATGAACCAAAATATATGTTGTTCTACATAGACTGAGAAATCTACAGGAGGTCCTGTACATTGCCAAACTTTCCATGCAGAGTGTAAGAGATTATAAAGCACTGAGTAAGCTTCCCAGGAGAATTAAGTCTGAAGAGATTTTTTCTTGAGCCTTCTCCTGTTAGATCATGTTAGACCCCTGTTAGAGGGTGGTGACACAGTGGAACAGGTTGCCCAATGAGGTTGTGGATGCCCCGTCCCTGGAGGCATTCAAGGCCAGGCTGGATGTGGCTCTGGGCAGCCTGGTCTAGTGGTTGCCGACCTTGCACATAGCTGGGGGATTGAAACTCAATGATCATTGTGGTCCTTTTCAATCCAGACCATTCTATGATTCTATGATTTAATCCTTAGCATGGAACTAAAAACAAGCAGCCTCTGTCCCCTATCTCTCAATGTGTGCAAAACAGTTTGGGGAGTGTGCAAGCTAAAGCTTGGTCATAGTTGTTTGAATATGTTCAGGCGTCCTGATCTTGTTACTGCTGCTTCCCTGTAGAAAACCAACAGCTAGGCTGCACAAGTGATCTGATTTTCTTCTCTCATGCTCAGAAACTGCAGAATTCACAAGGACTAATTTAGGTGTCTACACTAAAGTCTTAGTCTGACTGTGAACCCTTCTCAGTAAGATACAATAAGATGTAAGGCTAAATACATGCTTGAAAATGAGAACACATGGAAATAGCTTGCTGTGTCAGGGATGCAGGCTGGAATTTTCTGCTGGTACAGAAACAACCGTACTTGCATGGAGAAGCCCCACATGGCTGTGCAAAGCTTTGCTTTGCTGTTTCCTCAGTTAAGATGATACACACAGCAGTGTAGACTCTTTTCCACAAAAAAAAAAAAAAAAAGAAAAAGAAAAAGAAAAAATTGTAAAATCCTTTTTTAAAAGAAATTCCCTGTTTGCTTTTCCTTTTTTTTTTTTTTTGTTTTTGTTTTTGTTTTTGTTTTTGTTTTTGTTTCTTGTTTTAAACAGGCCAAATGTATGTAGTATGTAAAATGTTATGTAGTCATATATCAGAAACATGGTTGCAAATCTCTGAAATATTCATTTGTTTCAAAGTAATCTGTAGGCGTTTAAGAAAAGCTTTGTCTGTTGGATGCTGCCTTTGCTTCGGCAACCTCTGAATAATGTCCCGTCGTGAAGTGCTCAGACAGCCCCGGCCAAATCACACGCTTTTATGACACCAATGTGGTGAGAGGCAAATGGCGTAAACAAGCCACACACTCTTCTTATAGTTGTCCCTTATATCACAGTGCTACCAATCATCTTTGCTACAGTTATCTGTGTCCAATAGACGTGTGGCGTGTCTTGTCTTGCCATGTCTCATCATGGTTTTCTCATGAGTCAAGGAGCCCCCGCATAACCTGATGACTGTCACAGCCCCCTTTTTCACGTATTAGCTAACCACACAAGGGGCCCACACAGATTACGCCTGGTTACGCCTGATGACCTTGACAGCCCCCGCTTTACGAATTTCTTGACTACATCTCTAACTTGCATATTTTGTTAACTACATATGTAGTGCTACATATGTATCATATCATATGTACATATGTTAACTACATATGTAATGCTTCTGACCAGAAATGTTATTTACACCTTATCTTTGCTTTGCAGCAGTACATGAAAAGAAGGAAGTAAAAGCAACAAAGGCAGCAGAGAAAGGTAAAAAGAAAACAAAGCATGTTGGCATTGTCTCTCTTTGAAAGGCAGCTGCACAGAAACAAAAACCTCGGATTCAGACTGCTGGATGACAGCAACCTTTAAATCTGTTGCTCTGAAAGGCTTAAGAGGCTTTTGATAGCAGAACTTACAGATGTTTGTAGCAAGAACCATGGGGTGGGGTATGATTTGTATGGATGAGGTATTAATCGTAAGGTCTGGGAGTAAAAACAACAGAAGAGAGGATACAAGAACCGTAAGTGTTGATGGAATGTTTTTCAGCTGGTACATCTATGTACAGTTTCCCAGGTCACCCAGAGCAGAAAAAAACATGGAATGGTCAACACTAAGGTTAATGCAAATCTCCGTCCACCACCACCAAGATGGTAGTGAAAATATAAAGAAAAAGGTTGGAATCTTAAAGCATCTAGATGAAGAAACCAAGGACAGTGATAAAATAATGCAGAGGTCAAACAGATAAGAAAGGAAAAAGATGACAGTCAATGTCAGCTTCTGAAGTGCAGAAGGCACAGAGGATATCAACATGAAGCTGCCAAACTTCAAAAAACGCATGAGATATGCTTGGTGTTTGGCAGCTGGCAGTGCTTGTCCTCTGCAAGGGCTCCCAGCCCAATTGCCTGAATACTGAAATCTCATTGCTTAAATATTGGACTGACTACTTGGTCACAGACTTCTTGGCACTAAGTATGTTGTAAGGGAGCGAGCGAGTCCTCTCCTATCAGGACTCCCATTTCTCCATTATATACAATTGTATTTATTATTATTGTACATTTTCAGTATTATATCCTTGCTTCTAGTGTGCTTTAAAAAAAAAAAAAAAATTCTCTGTATTTTATGGCAATAAGCAGAGCAGTAAAACTAATGATAGACCTAAAGCGTGTAAGACTTGGCTTCCTTTATATGATACATACCCTAATCTATACTGTTTTGCTGCTAACTGCCTATCAAGGTGATTTATGTATTTACTAATTCTCCAATTGCCCATTAGGGCCCTAATAATGAACTTGGCATTTTCATTCATACTGGAGTCTTTCTAAAACTTGCAAGTGACCTTTAGAATAATGTAAAGGGAATTATTACAGCTGTAACTTTCGTCAATGGAGCTATTGTTCCTTTCTCTAGTTTTTCAGCTTCAGCTTTACTCAGCATTATTCAAGACAGTGTGGGCATCCTGCAGCAGCTGTCAACTGCTTGTTAGTTGTCATGGAAAATGTTATAATTAGTTAGGCCTTAGCCTAGATTTAATTCATTGTTACTCTGAGTATTGCCATGCTATTTTCTGTTTTCTAATTTTCTAATTTCTGCACAAGTGCTATCTGCACTGGCTTCCTTCTATTTGACCATCTCATACAACAAAGTGGTTTTTGCTGAAAGATTTGTCTCTTCTACGATATACCATCAATAGATGGGATGTTATCTTCAAAATAATGTTATCTGTGCTATACAGAGCACAGATGGAGCAGTAAAAACCATGGTTGGCATTGAACTGAGATTTTTAAATCATTGGTTTTGATTCCTGAGATGCTCAGAATTAGGCCAAAGTAATTTTTCCACCTGCAATCAGTAGGAGAAATTCTATCTCCCCGTGCCCATGGCCACCTAGTTTTTGCAAGTCAAAGGGATAAGAACAACATAAAATATCTATCTCAACTACTTCTGCAGCTACTTCCATCTACTGGCAGGCAGCTCTGTTCCTCTGCAGCGTACAAGTGAACATGTACACTTTCAGATAGTTACTGCTTCTGCTTCTCATTTCTGTGTCCTGTGTGTACTGCCAATATGTTGCTCATTCCAAAGCAAATAAGCCAGAAGCACTTTTCAGATGATTTTTTGAATATTAACACTTCAGTATTTCTTATGGAACTGTAAAAATATATGGTGATGGAAGCAGCTCTCAGTTGTGTTTTGACTAAAGAGAAATCTACACTTAATTAACAGGTCATAGTGGTCTAAAAGATCTGAGGAAAAGTGAAGACTCCTTTTCTTATTGAGGAAAAATTGAATTTGTGAAAAAATAATATTTAAATTGAAGGAATTTTGGGCCCCTTAGATTGAGAAATGAAATCTTATTGTGCAAGCTATTATACACCAGGATACATGTTAACAAGCAGAGGGAGCTGGTTAAAATCAGAATTTGTGATATAAGAAAAATACGAAATATAAGGAGGCTTCCAGCAGTGCTAGAGTGTGAATAGCTCTATTTGTGTAGCAAATAGAAAAAAAAAAAAAAGTCAGGAAGTAGCTTGATAAAATGAGGAAAAGGCAAAAATATTTTCTCATGTTACCTACTAGAATTAAGAAAGGTTATATGAGAGGTTATAAGAAAGCTAGCATCACTTAAAACAAGCTATTATGAGATGAGTATTTTTATGCTTCGGTTTCATGTCTGCGTGGTACTAGATGAGAACAATGAAATTTTTTCATACATGCTGCCAAGCAACAATAGAGTCAAAATCACTTTCAAGCTGTATTTAAATATATAGGAACAATATTTCTTTGAATACATTTTCAATAGCTGCTTGAATTAAAAATATTTTCCTACATGATTGTAGGCATGTTATAATACATGACATGTATTATAATAATTCTTTTTTATTTTATCTTTTCACCTTTTCTTTTCTTCTTTTTCTCTTTCCTCAGATAAACCAAAGATGAAACATGCAAGTAAGCAAAATATTTAGATATTACTTCTTCCTGTAATGGATAAATAAATGTTTTATCCAAAAGTGGAAAATAATGTGTATAAAAAAATGCTGCTATTACTGAGAATTGGACAAGATTGTGGTAGATAAACTAGAGCTGACACAGCAAAGATGATATTTGTAACAGAATCACAGAATCTCAGAATTGCAGGGGTTTAAAGGGACCTCAAGAGATCATCAAGTCCAAGCCCCCTGTCAAAGCAGGTACCTTAGAATAGGTCACACAGATAGGTTCAGACTAGTAACAATGGATATGTGAAGACATGTGAGACTATTTAAGCCAAAGTTTCATCCCATAACATTGTATTCTTCAGTGACAAAAGGAAGAGACTTTTGCTATGCACTTATGATAAACCTATTTGCAAAGTGTACAAATATATTTTTTTTCCACAACAAATTCTTGTCTCCAAGTCTGTTAAACTCACTACAGATCTCTCCAAACCCGTTGTGCACTCTATAGGTTTCAACTATGCTTTCTGATCTCAATATATGTTTAGCACTGAAAATCAGTACAAAGCAAAGCTCTTGTGGAACTTGTGCTGCAAGTTATGCCAGACTCTGACAGATTCATGGAAATATAGAATTGCTTGATTTGGAATGGACACTTAAAGGCCATCTCATCTAACTCCTCTGCAATGAACAGGGACACCTACAGCTAGACCATGTTGCTCAGAACCATGTCCAGCCTTTTTTTTTTAGAACAGCTTAGGTAACTCTTATTAACAATGGACATGCTGTAAATTATTACCCTGGAAAGGCTCCTGAACACAAGAGGTTTTATACTGTGCATTAAACAATTTAATTCTGTATTGACAAGGTAGCGTATTATTTATCAGTGTTTTTTGGATTAATCAGAAATTATTTTTTAGAAAAGAAGTAATAATGAGAGAGTGAAGCAAGAGAGGAAACGTTAGTGTCTTCCAAACTCCTCTCGTTGTAGAGTGCTGTAATGAATAAGGAAATTTGGAATTTTTCAGTAACTCATGAGCACAGAAGAGAGTATTTTTCAGCCTTCTCAGTGATTCTTTTTTTTCTATTAACATTGGCAATTGGCATTAGCTTAGTATTTAAATGCTAATGTTGCTTAGGTTTTTGAAAGGGCTTATTAGAGTTACTTAGTTCTCCTATGTATGTTCCATGGATATCTGAAGTGAATTGTCTTCTAAATTTGTAAATTAATGACTGAATCATAAAATCCTGAGAAGCAGGTAGAAGCAGGAGAGCACAGGCAGATACTGAAGCAGATGTGATGAGGATGGAAAAAGACAGCTTTATTACAGTGAAATTTCATTTTGCTTTTTTTTTTTTTTTTTACATTGTTTTACAAATTCCTCTCCCAGATCTCTTTTCAAAATTGTACAGTCTAATTGTATGGCCATTTTAGAGGCACAGCTTAGAAGGTGAAGAAGAATTAAGCATTTAACCCTTGAAGCCAGCCACTCCAGAAAAGGTGTTTTAATGTCAAAAGTAAATGTTATTTTTTCACCTATTTACTTCTGTCATATTAAATTATATATTTAAATAAATAAATAAATAATATTTTTAAATAAGCATAAATAAAGTTATATTATGGCTGAATTCTTTTGATGTAGATTCCCCATAAACTCATCTTGTCTTACATGGATCCCAGTAGTAAATTATGAACAAGAAACAGTATTAATAATGATAAATTGCTATTGGATACGTTAAATGCTTTCATTACAAAGGTGCCAATTTGTGAACTGTGTGTGCTTTCAGGCAGTAAACAATCATTACAACTACCCACTACAGCTGCTGCAAGTTCTGTCAGATCTGTCTACTAGACACAATGCAGTTTCCTTCTAACAAGGAATCTTATCCCATTTTGAGAAACCAAGGGGACCTTCTTACAAAGCTCTTCAAGATTTTCTGGCACTGAGTTGCTGCTGAGTTTCTTGGTTGCGATAAAGTTTTATTCATATATGATGAATGACATTGTGTTTCTTTTCCAGAAAATGCCACTTAATTAATGCTTCTCAGATAATATATTTAAACCCCTGAAATCATTAGAGAGTTAAAACACTCAGCATGAGGAAATTCAAAATCCAAGTCTCTTTTTTTTCTGACTAATTTTTTTGGAACAGATTCATCTGTCCTCCTGATTTTAGAAAAGAGGAGAAGTTTAGGAAACATTTCATCAGACCAGAATCATAATCTCTTGTTTTATCCAAAACAAAACTATTGCTTATTTCCTGCTGGTCAGGTAACTATCCCTCATCATTCAGTTTCCATTGAGGATGATGCCACATAGCCATCTTCACTACTCATTGGGAGGCAGAATAAAAATACCTCTTTGACCTATTTCACTATTGTGCTGCTCTCCCTTTTGGCATGCATCTGACACTCATGAAAGAGCAATTTCAATAAGGAGATCCTTGGACCTGCTCAGCATGAATGGAAAATCCCAGATGAGGGAAGTAGACTGGAACCACTTCTTATAAGTCAAAATCGTCAAAGGGTGATTTTTGCCTTCTCTACTTAAGGAAGTTGACCTAATATATTTATCCCACAATAAGTAAAAGTTTACACATTGATAGACATCATAATTAAATCAATAGAAGACATTTTGTGACCTGCACTTGGTGAACAGAAAAGGGAGAATTTTGTACAACTTTCCCAGTCACTGCTTGACACTGTTTCTTCCAGTACATAGTTGTAGTCTCTCATATGATATACATTCTCTGAAGCTTAAGTCTTCTAGTTTCACTCCATTATTGCTTCTGACTGTCACTTTGTTGGTGTACAAATACATTTTTTTACAGATCCTGGAAAAGAGAAAGAATTGAAATATTCAGCTGCTATCAAGGATAAAGGTAATGTCATAGGACATAATTGTAGAAAACCTAAGGATATATTCACATCAAGAAAATATCTTGCAATGAATTGGGCATTTTGTTTTTATCTTACATCTTAGAAAGGAATTTGTGAGTGTAATAATAGTTCAGTAAATTTGTAATAGAACTTTATTAGTATTATCAGCAGTGCAGATCTTCACTAACGTGAAACATCTTAAAAAAAAAAAAACGTAGAAGTCCAAACTCAGAATTTAAGAACACTTGATAGCATTTTCTATTACAGACTGCAGAGTGAAATAAGTGATTTTTCAGTGATATTTTTTCTTATATCAAAATTAAGAATTTTTCATTTCTTCACTTTGTGAGCATGCACAAAGCGCACATAGTGTTTTGTACTACACGTTAAATTGGTATCCTGGCTCAGTTAGAAACCACCAATTATTCAATCAATCGTTATCCTAGAGGTATTAGATGTTAACCTTTTATCACTCTAGCTTGAAGATTAATAAATTATTTTTACAGAACATGGCAAAGAAAAGGAAGGAAAGAATTCTACAGCTCTAAAAGATAAAGGTAAGGATACACAAAAGAATATAATACTTATTTTAAAACCACACAATGTAGAATGAATGTATTCATTTAAAAATAATCATTGGAAACTTAATCTTTTAGAAATCTTATCCAATCAATATTTAATTGGTTAAAATTACATAAAGGATTTACAGCAAAAAAAGACCAAAAAACCATAAATAGAACAATTAATGTTCAGGAGACTCAAAATTAATTAAATATCACAAAGACTTTCTGAGTTATAGTTAAGATTTTTCCTAAAAACCTTCTTTTCTGAACAATAGAAAATGTATGAGGGCTCTGAAAGTAATGGCAGCAGAGGGGCAGACTGACAAAATGGCATCTGACATGGAAGTGCATATGAAGAAATGATGTCTCATTGAATTCCTCCATGCAGGAAAAATGGCATCCATTGACATTCACTGACACTTGCTGAACCTTCACGGAGACTAAACAGTGGATGTGAGCACTTCACAGTGAAGAGACCCAAAACTCGAATTCCTCTGTTTTAAGAGCTTCTTTTGAATCCTTTTTGAATCCAAAGCTTCTGTTCTTCTCTCCTACAATTGTTTTGGCAATAGCACTATTTAAAAAAGAGTCAGGGAAAATAAATTCTCAAATTTGAAGCTATCTCTGAGATACTCCGTAGGTCACAATATTACAGTGTTAACCTATCTGTTTTATGATGTGAATAAAATATCTTCAATCTTACAGTCTCATTTTATTGGGAATGATTAAGGTGAACACTGGAAAAATATATTTCCTTCCCTTTTCTTTTCACTGATGTTATCTCACATCTACTGAATTTATAACTAGCTTTTCAGCTCAAGAAAAAAGGCCATTTAGAATAATTAATATAACAGTTGATTTTCTGTTGACATGAGCATATTCAAATAATGTGAAGACAAGGAAACTCTAGGCTATAATTTGTCATGCAGTTTTTTGATATATTACCCAGCTAATGATAGTAGAAGGTGGTTCATACAGAATCTCTAACAGTAGCACTAAAAAGCTTATGACATACTATATGCAACTTTTCACGAAATTTTTCTAACAGATGCACTTGAATTGCATTGTGAGTTATGTTGAGTTATTAAGATGACAATGTTTGTGCTGTACAGATAATGAAAATTCACTCATACTTTGTGCAACACAATCTGTTTTCCAAACAAATGCTCTTTCTTTCCCTCTTGTTTGCTTCTGCCATATTTTAGGATGTATTTGCATCTTTGCTTATGTAACTTCTGGGTAGATAATAAGTGTATTTATTTATATGCACAGAGTGTCAGGGGAAATAAGTAGTGAATATTGCCTTTTTGCCATAAACATAAGAGCACATTGTCATGAAATAAACAAATGTACTGATTTACTTCTGTTGAGCAATTCAGATGCTTCCTTTGAAGTAAACGCACAATGAAATAACATTTGTCCATAGCATTTTTGTCTGGAACATTTTTTTTCTCTAAACATAGAAAGCTATTTTGTGACACACCTACACAGAAATGATACCCCCTCTGACTTTAAAGGAAAGTGCCGAAAAGCAGTATTGCTTGAGTTAGTATTTCCTTCTATTTACATTTACATATTTGTTGCTGCTGTTTGTATGAAAACTAGATCTTTACACTAAAGTTTGTATACTGCTGTTGTATACTTCATTATCACTTTCTTAGTTCCTGAGCTTCACTCTTGGATTAGGATGCAGGAGGAAAGCAGCAGTATAAATATTGGCTTTAAGACAATTTCGATCTTTCCCTTTTCTGGGACCAGGGAAATGGTCAGTAGAGACAAAAAGTTTGAACCACCTTTAGTGAGTCCCTGCTTAAGTCTCTGACGAGGAAGTTCTGCTCCCTGGAAGGGAAGCAAGATGCTGATCTCAGAAGCATGTTGAATAAGATGGTGCCCCAGCGAAAATATCCTGCACTGATTAACGAAGGCATCCAAAAGAATGAGACTCCAAAGTGCTGAATTTATTTTAGGACTAGCGAATTGTAGGTGAGGTACTCAAGAGACAAAAAATACCTTGTGGTCACCACCAGTCAAAATGTATTGGTTTGTCCTGGTGGCTGAAATAGTGGCTTCTTATCTTTGAAATCACAGACATGCACAAATGGTCAAGCACACTTCTTCTATAGCCTCTTCAAAAGATTTTAGTCTTCATACTGAAGTCTTCTCTGAATCCCCTGAAGGAATCCACCTGCTACTGTTTAGACCAAGCTCCCTGCTTAAGTACTTATCTAGTCATGGTGTGATTTCTCTAAAGGATTCAACCACACTGTAAGTCAACTTTTTCTGTAGCAAGTCACACTTGAAGCCAGTTGGATAAGTGGGATCACATTCTGCTGCCATGACAGCCAGTAGGACTGTCACTTATGAGCTTATTTTGAAATACATTTTCTTTAATCATGATCCGTTTATGGTTTTGGGTTTTTTCTTACTGAAAATTTAGTTAATGTTAATCTGGAATAAACAAAGTGGTTTTGGTTTTTTTTTAGATGTTTAGGTGGTATAACCTAACAGATGGAGTATAATTAGGTCTACTCAGCATTGTGCAGACTCTGATGTTCTCTCACTTAAACAAAGAATGTATACAAACCCATGAAATTACGATTTTCTACTAATGTTCTCTGATACACACACTTAATACTTCAAGTGGCAGTTGCTTTCAAAAATATATACATTTTGTATTTGTACTTTATGTCAACTGTTTATTTATCATATGATATTCTTTTCCTGCTTTTGCTAATACTAGAAACATGCTATCTAAAGGACTAAGTCAAAAAAATTTGGCTTCAGCCCATGAGAGAAAACAAAATAATCCTTTCTTCATGAAGTGTTGAATAAGGCCCTAAAAATTCCTAATTTTTTGGCATTAATTGTATTTGCCTTAATCCTTCCTAGTTTCTACCTAGTGAGGTCTTCACTGACAGAGTTATTTATATTATTTTTATTACCATGATTGCTAGTAATAGTGTTACATCTTAAGAACTACAATATTGTCTCTAGAGGTAAGGTAAATAAAGGTCAAAGACTTATATCTTGCATCTCAAAAACTCAATTATTTCCTACAGAATCACTGAAAGGAAAAAATCCCAAGAATCCAGAAGGGTCAAAGGAAAAAGGTAGGTAGAGAAGTTAAGAATTTCAGAACTGATTATCAGAACAGTGTATATGAATATACATTCTGATATACTGCTGTTATTCTGATATACTGTTGTTATTTTATACCCAGCTTTCCTGTGATTTTAAAGGGCTGCAAACATGTAGAAAGTGTGCTTTTATTCACAGGCAGTACACCTCCTTGATGTTAAAAGAATAACTGAGTTCTTGTCCTTGTGTTAAATCAAAAAATAAAGTTCCCATTTACCTTTATCAGAAGCCTCTGGCATTCAAGTTCTAATATTTTAACTGTATCTGCATGGATTAAATTTTTACTTGGGTTCAGTAAAAGAAAATTTTATTAACACTAGCTAGTCTATTAAATTGCTTTTCACTTTGTAAATAATTGTTTTTCATTGCCTGCTTGAGAGAAAGATTAACAGTTTCCCCCAAATGCAGAGACAGTAATGACATATTGGAAGTTTTTTTTTGTTTATTTTTTTGCACATCCAAGTCTAAAAGGATGAATGAAAGACCTTATAGTTTTGTCCTGTTCTTTGTTTCCATGCTGTTAAATCCATTTAATTATCACATCTTTTTTGCTCTCAAAATATCAAAATGTCTAACTTGTTTTCTTTTCAAGTGTCATCTTATTTCTCTAACCTGACTTGTGATAAATGTTAAATGTTTCTTTCTAGAGACTGGTAAAAGAAAAGATGTGATGGCTCCAACAGTCTTAAAGGAAAAGGGTAATGTCACATCATGTAGTTAGGAAATAATACATTATCTTTACACAGCCTATTGGTATCAATATATATTGCAATTTCTTTTCATTTTTGTATTATAGGTTTTTTAGTGAAAAGGAGCTATAGCTCTCTTCTTGTCCCTTAATAAATCTCATGCATCAAAGTGAATATCATCTTACATAATTCAGAAATTATGAAATCATGTTCTTTACTATGATGTTCTTTAACTGTTGCTTGACAGTTAATTGTAGCCAATTCCGGTCCACTTCAGTAAGTTAGTAACAGAGCTATTTCTAAACTCATGATAGACTTAAGTGATAGACTTCATAAATCCGAGAGTATAGTTTGAAATGCAGTGTCTTTGCCAGGTAATTTAGTAGGAATTATTTTTGTTTAGTTTTCAAATTCTAATTTGAGCCTTGTATTGAAGTAAATAGAAATTCTAATTCCTAACACCTATCTTTTTCAAAATTTTGGTTAATCAGGAGTTATGTATGTTTGTTATAGTATAGACAGATATAGTATATATACTGTCATAGCTGACTTTCCCCTTCATTTTTTTTTTGTCTGATATTTTTTTCAGATTCTTCAAAAGGAAAGGAAATTAAAGTCCCAGCTATGACAAAGGATAAAGGTAAAAATCACAGGTTGAGTAGAGCTCTAATTTAAGACTTAGCTATGCTGTCTTCAAATAGCATCCTTCACTTCTGTACCTTTTTTTTTATTTGTGTGATAAAGAAGAGATCTATATGAGACTAAGATGTCATCAGTACTGGTTAGCCTCAAAAGCTATAGGGTCTTTCTTTCCTCTTTCTTAATTTCTTCTCATTCTTGCTATTTAAATTCTTCCTTTCACACTGTATTTTGCTTCTATAATATATTATTTTATTGTGATTTACTCTCTCTTACACTGAAATATCAGTACTGGTCGTCAAATAAAGATCAGCTGCAAAATATAGTGCATGACCTCGGCATTTTTAGACAATGATAAAACTATGATTATAATAAAACAAGTCTTAAATAGTCTGGATCTTTTTGAAGAAGAGTGGGTGAGCTCAGATTGTTATTTCAAGGTCTAGGACATGAAAAAAATATTGATGCATTATTGTACAATTTCTTTCAGCTTACTTTAGTCAACAATGAATACTGAAGTACTTTTTTTTTTTTTCTTGGTACACTAATATTTCAATACAACTTAGCTTTATATTCAGGCTTTAGGAAACTGACTCCTATTGGCTTCTGACTCAGTTCTTGCAAACATATATAAGTTTAGGTAGTTTATTGAGGCATTAAACATTAGTTAGAGTCTAATATATTTGAATATTGAACTTCCTGTTGAGTTTTTAATTTAATTTTTTCTTCAACATCCAAAAATATTTTTGATTTAAAGACTGATTTATTTAAATGTAGTGGTAATTAAATAAAACATTATTTATTATAAAAGATCAAATAGTATAAGGAAGTAACGTAAATGGGAGCTACTGGAAAGAAGGGGACAGACTCTTTAGCAGGGTCTGTGGTGATAGAACAAGAGGAAATGGTTTCAAACTTAAAGAGTGTAGATTTAGATTCGATGTAAGGAACAAGTATTTTACTGTGAGGGTGGTGAGGCACTGGAGCAAGCTGCCCAGAGATGTGGTTGATGCCCCATCCCTGGAGATATTCAAGACAAAGCTGGATCAGGCTCTGGGCTACCTGATCTTGCTGTTCATGTCCCTTCATTGCAGAGGAGTTAGACAGGATGACTTTCAAAGATCCCTTCCAATGCTAAGGATTCTATGATTCTATATCCACAAGAGTTTTCTAGATGCACTGCTAATGAATTAGATTGAGTGAACTGCCAAACACTCAGTGGTACAAGAAATGAAAGTTTAAAAAATGAGCTGATTAACTCAGTTTTATCAGCCAAAACATGTTCTATCAAGAAAGATAACGTTTATCTAAACACTGCTGGTTTTCACTGACTGCATATGAAGTGGTTTGTGCTCAAAGTTTTTGAGAATAAAACTCTACCAGGAAACCACTCCACTAACATAGTATTTCATAGGACATATCACGTACAACTCTTCCATTTAGGCTTTTTTTTTTTTAAATTAAAAATTGAAACACTGCAAGAGGCATAAAAAAATCTTGTGTGGTTGTGTCTTACAGCTTACAAGAGCCAAGATACAAATATTTTGTGCCAAATATGCAGTACAAGGTTACATTAGAGAGACCTGATATTCTTGTGACTAAGAGCAATGACTTGGATGAAGCCTGAAAAAGATCTGATTGGTTTTCATAATATTGGCAGGATGCTAAGATGAGCAAAGCCATAGTCCATTGCAGGCTAAAAGTATTGACTCCACTGAGCCTCTGCCAGCTTCCTGAGTGAGATGAGAAATATCAGCTCTGGTTTTCCCTATTGGCTAGCGTTCATCCTTGCAGGTTACCTGTGGATGTGCTTGATGCCTTGTTGGTTCACTGAGAAAAACTGGTATCTCACAGCACTCTGCTTTTCTCTTTGTCTCCAATTGACTCTATAAGAACTTAAATCGTTTGAATTAGATGCTACCTGGCACATTGGGCCAATAGTTTTCTTTAAATATTGTTTATCGTAATTCTGTAAAGTGGTTATTCTGAGCAGAACTGCAGACCCTTTAAGAGCCCTGGAGTTTAACAGAAAAATGAAATTTAAATGGGAAGATTTCAGGTTGAATACATGTGTATAGTGAAGCAACCTTACAGTCTATAATAGGATTCAATCATTTTTCAGTCACCAAAGTTCATGACAAAGCAAATCTTACAGTTCAGCTCAATTCTATCTGAGAGATATTCACAAGCCATTTCTTAGATGCTGGAATTCATATGCGTGCAGTACTTCCAAAAACAAATACAACTAACTCGGTGACACTGAATATGTATGACAAGATATTGACATTTTGTCAGAAAACTGTAACCCCAATGCACAAAGTGGCTTTAAGCATCCTTGTGGGATGCTGTGCCTCACTAAACCTCTCTTTCTTAAAAATAATAAGTGACATGTCACATAGATCAGACAGTTTGAGAAAAGCCTTTGTAGGGAAAGTGCTCCAGAAATTTTGTGATCATTGCCATGTAAAGAAGTAAGAACAAGAGGTACCTTTTTTAGACAACTAAGAGTACACAAGAAGCTTCTTTAATAGACATCTTAGTTTAAAATAGCTAACCAGCAAAACACCTGGAGAAGTTGCAATGGTTTGCCACTTTGCAGTGATCTGTCTAATCCAGTATAAACTGAATGAACTGAAGTGACCACAGTCTAACCCCCACTTTGTTAAGACAAACACACTTTTGAAAAATGAATGTTGAATTTGCAAAAGTTGGAGGTAAAATTACAATAGAAATTAGTGAATAATAGAGCTTAAATATAAGTTATGTATCTATATATTCTATATATATAAGGCGTATAAAATTTGCTTCACGAGCCTGCCTATGTAGTCCAACCATGGCAGAATTGGTCATCTCATTTCTGAACAGTGCCGATTAGAAATACTTCAAGAAGGCACCAGACTTAAAACTCAGACATCAAGATAAGGCAGATTTATAAATGCCAAGACTGAGATGCACTGCGAGGTAGTAAATTCCTATTGTAAGGCAGAACTTCTCCAAAAAAAAAAAGTCTTCAATAGATATAGAAAAGAAGAGAAGAACAGCAATAAAAAATGCACAATATTAATGTAAGCCATTAAAAAAAAAAAAAAAGAGCTAAAATTTTAATTAAAAAAACAGTTCATATAAAATGAAAATGGAGCAGTTTTTTTAATAAATAAAATGTAACTTTGTCCTTATCATTTCATACTTTTTGTTTGATGTTTGCTTGTTTTGAGGCAATTTTTATTTTAGTCAAACCAAAATGAAGTAGCATGCACATACATATGTGGAGGCATACATTCAGTAGACAAAGCATGTTCATAAGTGAAAGTATGCCAACTGATATTTAGGCTATTTCCTGGAGGTAGGCACATGCTAGAATTCCCATTTCTTCATAATACAAGTCCTCTGAGTGCATATATGTAACTTTTTCTTTATACATTCTTGTGCGGTAAAAGACAATTTTGCAAAACATTCATTTCACACAATATTTGAGACCAATAATAAGGATTTTCCCTGCCCAGAATTATATGCTTCTCAACAAATTACAGATTCAGTATCCCTCTGCTTTATTGCTTACCTTTGGTCCCGAGAATATTGCTCTCTTTATTGCACTGTTCAAGTGAAAAACTGCTGTTAGTACTTTAGTCACTTCCTCTGAAAGATGAGAGAGGTAGTGAAAGATCTGTGCCTTCTCATGCTGCAGAAAGACAAGAAGTCTGGTTAGCTCTCCTCTGCTCCTTGCTCTTTTGCTATGTTATTAAAAAAGGATTTTTACCTATCTTTGGAAGCATGCTTGAACCTAGTAGGCATTAAGTGTCGGGAACCTACATAGCCACAGGAGAAGAAAGATTCCTGTAGGTAGTTGGTATTTCCTGTTCACTATCAATGAGGAGAAGGATCAGACTCCATATACAGTCCAAGGATCTCAGTAATGCACTTGCTCTGTTAGTGCTTCTACCCAATGACTTCATGGGCTGTTGAGGTGATCCAAGTGATCTAAATCCAAAGACATCCATGATTTCTGTTCATTTTATATCCTTATTCCTGCTCCCTGGAATAAGAATAATTTGAAGTGCAAAAGAGTCTGTGCTGAAACAGAACTCACACACTCGTGCTGCTTTCATTCTAGTAAAGTGGGCTTATGTATTCTCATTAAGGAGTTGCTAGTAATGAAGAAAAAAGTGCTACTAACTTTTTTGGATGTTACCTAGTGAATGATATTTTTCTTAGTAGGTCTGACAGCCAGTTCTTGCAAATTAGAACAAAAGAAATATCCGGTTTGCAGGGGATTTCAACCACAACATATTCCTTACCCATTAATAACAAAATCGGTGATGATAATCAAATGAGAAGTCATTCCACCAAGCCTCATTAAAACCTGAACTAGAAGAGGGAAAGGGCAGGAAAGGTGTTTTCTGATACTCAGTAAAAATTATTCTAAACACAGATACTCTAGACAATTGAAAGGCTAAATTGTCCTTTCTGATGCTCACTATACTGATTTTTAATGTGATAAAAATTTCTCTTGACATTGGTAAGAGCAATTCTGAGCTTAGAAAGACAGACAAAGAGAGACAAAATATCTGTTAGGAATATCTGAGAGAGAAATATCACTTTATATGGTTCATAAATATTTTAAAACTGCACCTTCTTCTCAAACTATGAACAGATGGACAATTTATGGTGAGATGGTCAAAGGCAGTATCAACTAGTGGCTGCCAGCTGCTTTGCTGGAGCTGCTTGCATGAGGCAGTTTTCACTTCAGCATAACAGCATGCAATGAGCAGTTATCATAAAGTACCTGACATGTGGAATGAGTCTGTGCCTTATTTTTGTCTTACTGCAGGTCTTATGTCTGTTATCAAAATAAATGTTAGAACTTAGTCAAAACTTCTGACAACTTCAGCAAAAGAAGTTACTGTCTGAAGGTGTGTTGGGCTAAATATATTTTAACTCTCAAGAGTTATTCAGAGACTGAAGAATCAGTCAGGAAAAAGGTGAAATCATGATTAAAGTCAGGACAAAAACATGTCTAGAAAATTAAGTGACAGAGTCAAGGTTGCATGGTTTCTAAAAAGAGAAATTGTGTCTTAGAGGTAAGTGCTTCATATACCTCAATAAAACACAGCTTTTATGGGATGGTTTAAATAGGCCTATAAAAAGTTCCAGAATAGGAAGCACTGTAGAAATTTAATAGCTGCTGCATAACTGGGACATTATTGAAAAAATTCAGTCTTTGATTAGGAAACAGTTATTGATTCATTTCCACATTAAAGCCCATTCATAAAATAATTCCTTCCCTAGATGTGTTGTATTCCTTAATTAACAGAAGATGGAAAGAGTAATGTAATGAAATGTTTTGATACCATAAGATTTACTAAAGAGTTCAGGATCAGAAGGAGTTGTGACACACTGAATTTACCAGGTGAATGGACAGCACAATGGAAAAAAAAATGTAGTGTCACTAACCATAATGCAATACAGATTGGGAGGGAAATATGGGAAGATAGATTGGGAAGAATATGTCTCTGAATAACCTTAATAAATTCTATAAAGGTCCCGAAGTTTTTACGCAGAAAATTGAATGAACTTTCTTCCATATGCAGATGCATTAGGACATGAAGTCATAAAGCATAAATCAAAAGTGCATCTTGTCCTGGAGTGCTGTATGCAAAACTCTTACATGATAATGTGGCACCAGAGCAGGATAGGAAAGAGAAACAGAAGAGAAATGGACAGAAATAATTCTCTTTCTCATCAAATAAGAAATAGAAAGACTCAGGTTACCTGTGGGATTAATTAGTATGATCACTATTGGAGGACTGTAAATCATGAGTCTATGTCAAGGGCTCTTCACAGAGGAACTAGATATTTACATGGCAGAGCAGTTTTCATAGCTCAACTTTTCATAATTAATTATTATAAATTTAGAAAGGAAGTTAAATTTCATGCCTCAGGATGGAAATCAATTTCTTCTAAAAGAAAAGTAGAATTCATGGAAGAATAATTTATTTTACAGTATTCAAACTAAATATTATTTCCTGGCTACTGCTGGGATATCAAGCCACAAGGATCAGACTATTGTTGAATAGGAAATGATGCTTACAGGACATTTTCAAGATTTTTAAAAAGTATTTCTGTTAAGCTCAGGAATAAATCCCTCTGAACCACCCGTGTCTGTGGAATTAGAGGACTGCTGGTGATTCAAATTTAAATTTCTGATCCAAGTTAAATACAATATATCCATTCTGATTCTGTGAGGATTTTTGGTTTATGTACTGACTGTTATTCTGGATTCATTATCCCTGAAAAAATGGGGTGTTTCCCGTTCATGTTATGTTTCCCTCATAAACATTTTTCTTTGTATAATAGTGATAAGAACTGGAAATGCATGATTGAAATTGAATAAGCTTGGGAAAGAAAAAACAGTGACTGGCTAGAGTCACTGTCATTTATGATTGTTAATGGCATCTTATTTTATCATGATCTGTAGGTACAAATTCCTAATTCAAGAAATAGGTAATAACTATCATCAGTATAGCATAGAAACAGCATAGAAATTTGTTCTTACTCCAAACAACATTAAAAAAGAATACACTTAAAACCATCTCTGATGTCTAAGTATCATCTTCTCTAGTTCATCATTCTACTTTATTTCATGTCCTTCACTATGTTATATTACATTTGTTCTCAGCAGGTAAACAAGTTTTTATCATTTTTAGACCAAATTCTTTGACTGATCTATCCATCCTTTTTTTCTGCATTTCAGTTACTAACACATTGCTCATCTTCCAAAAGAGTCATGTGAATGGTGTTGTTTGTGCTCTTTTTCAATTTTTCCTAGTTGTTATAAGTTTCAATAACAGGATTTGATCAGAGCAATGCTACTGGCAACAGTAGTTAGTCTTAAGATTTGTTGAGTATTTACAGTGAATGCCACCAGAAAAATCATGGCCAAGGTGAAAATTCAAACAGATGCCACCACATGATTTAATGGCATACTAAATTTTTGGTCTGTGTAGATCAGAAATTAATTAGTAAAAAGCTTTCTGAGAGCCATTGAGGCTTCTATAGCAGCTTCTGGGGAAAAAATACTAAATCCTCTGAAATGACAGTTATACTAAATGGGTTTGATGCACATGTCAGCCATGAAAGAAAAGTGATGACAAAGAAGACCAATCCTGGAATCTTTGTGCCTATTCTTTACTGATTCTAGACATTAAATTTTTTTCCACTCCTGGACACATTCCTGAGATAGTAAACATTTGTTTTATTCTCAAAGTAGAATAAGAGGCCAACAGCATGAAAAATCTTTAAAATCTACTTCATTTTTGCCTCAAGCCATTTGTAAATAGCATTTCAGTAATTTCAGGTTCAGGCTTTTCCTTTTTTCTCCATTTTAACCAAATACACTGCCAAACAAACAAACAAACAAACAAAAAGTAGAAAAATAGTAGCTTTTTAGTTTAAGAACACTGAAAAGGAAGAGATCAGCTCTGAAACTCAAAACGCAAACCTTTAAGAGAATGCCTGCTCTCTCCTCCTACCTCATGACCCTTGATTTCTTGGGCCCATTCTCCAAAGAAAGGGCAGAGCAATGCTTCTGCTAATTTCCTTTCCAGCTTCAGCACCACAGCAGATCTATTTGCATTGACAGTTTGTTGCTGGGTACAATTTTCAGGGGTTTAAGAGCTACAGATTTGAATTCTTCTGTCTTCCGTAGCCAGCAAATGCTAGCCTAAGGCAGGGCTCAATACACTTATCCTAGCAGATAAGTTTCAAAATAAATTGGCATTCTTAACTAAATTTTCAGAAGGTTCTATAAATGAAGGTTGGGAAATAGGTAGTACATGGAATTCGGATGGACTTAGGTGTAAGTTTGGCTAACTTCCATCAGGTTTGGAGCAATAATCTGCAAATGTAGGTAATTGTCTCCTATTTCAGATGTTTCAGTCCTTTGACTAAAATCTTGATACACTTTCACTGTACTCCCTATGGATAAATGTGATTCTGTATTGGAACCCCAAGTTGAGCTTTTGGGGCTTTTTCCTTTGGGTCTAGAAATTGGATAGCAGTCACGCAGCAGTTTGTTCTGGGGGAACTGATTCCCGGTTTCTTAACCTAAGGAATATAAAAAAGTTTCCTTGTGGTCTGTATTCCTTCCCAGATCTTACAATTTCCTGTCTTAGGCAGATTAGAAACCAAAGATGTCTTCATATGTTGTTGTTTTGTTGGTTTTTTTTTAAGACACAAATGGTTCATAATACCATTCCTTTAGTCTCTGCTTTCTAATTCATGCCTTCCTAGTCTGAAATACACTCCATCTCATTTATTTATTCACTCTACTCCTCTTATCTGCCGTTATTAGTGTCTGAGAGGAACACTGACTTTGTTACTAAAATGTGAGAATCTGGTAAGATGGATCTTGCTCTCATTAATCATAGTGTCAGGAATCTGAGGAAACAGATCAGATTTCTGATTATCAGTTTCTTGTTTTGCCAAAGAAATCTATTCCTATATTGCATAATATATGTAATTTTTGAGATATTAGAAACTTTGTGTTATTTTTACTTATACTACATGTTATTAAATTCAGTTGTGAAAAAATACTGTTTTTGTTTCCATTTCAGCTGCGGTGAAGAAGCAAGAGGAGAAGAAAGGTAAACCAATTATTTTCCCTTGACTGAAGTGTCTTTCAGGCTCTGACTGCTATGAAAAATGTTTTTTTTCATTCAGTGATACAATTGCGATGACATACACCACCTCACATGCTACCATCAGTCAGCTTTGTCTACTCCAACTGTGATAACACAGTTGTCATTTCCAGTATTGTTTGCTCCTTCTTACCATAGGCAAACTATGCCCAGAATCAGATACTTCATTGTTCTGACTGGGAAGAAAATGGCAGGCTTTTGTTATCGTGTTAGGATCTGTCAAAGAGAACAAAACTTCTAGTGCACCATGCATGCTGACCTGACTGCTTGTTCTTTGCAGAATGTGCTTTCTATAGTGCATTTAATTTCCTTTTTCCAGATATGCATGTAACATGAACATAAGCTTTGTTAAAGTCACTCTTTGGTATTTTAACAGATTGGTAGAAAACTTCATCCTGAAACAGAACCTAGAATAGTAATTAAAGTTTGTAAAGATAAACATCCTGTATTTATTGGATGTATCTATTTATAGTATTATCATTTTTTATCACTTTTCTATTTTAATTCAATTGCAAAAATGATGAAATACTACCATTAACAGTGATGTTTTATTTAAAAGAATCAACATTACTGATTATTTGATTAGTGAGCCACATGCTGCATGTTTATCTGGGAACAATCTCAGAACTTATCCATAGATTTCTATAGATATTTTTTTTAGATTTAGTGTTAAGTAAATGTGAGCAGAACTGGTTCTTTATTTATGAAGGATATTAGTTTCTTTTTCTTTTTTTGTGGGGGTGAAAGGGTGAGGGGGAGAGAGGGAGTAAAGAGGAGGGAGATGTTTCTTTTGTCATTTCAAAAGAATTTGAAGATCCTAGGATTCACATAGCTGAACATCAGAGCCATTCTTTGCTGGCTATTCATGAAGACATTTTTAATCCTGCTTTTTCTCTTTTTTTTTTCTTCCCCCCCTCCCCTCCCCCCGTTATTCCTGTACAGAGTCATTAATTGAACTGGAAAAAGAAATAGTAGTCTCAACTGTTTTAACAGTTCATGAGTGAAATCTTGGCTGTTGATGTTAGTTAGTTAATTAGTTAGTTAGGCAAAATTCCCATTCACTCCATTGGAGCCAAAATTTCACTTCATGTGTTTAAAAGAATAATAAAATTAATCTTGGTTATTAAAAAAGCCGCCCTGCTGAACAGGCATCAAGCAGGATATTTTGTCCAAAGATTTATTTGCAGTAACTGAGGCATAACAGGTTGCCTGCAAAGCAGGGAGTATCAGAAAACTGGCAGTTACCCTTGCACTAGTTTTCAGACATCAAAATGCTCTCTGTCTTGCACTTAGCACAGGAACTGTTATATCTTAAATGGAAATAAAGTAGTGAGGTAATTGCTAATTGAGATAGGATGCTACTTCTGTGAGCCTTACCACAGGTTAAGGCTCCATTGATTTTCAGAAGAACTTGAAGGGAATTTGTTTGTAATGCTTACTGCTTGCCCTTGATTCATTTTTTACAGGCTAAGACTTTTTTTCCTCCTTTACCTTAACCTCCCCCCACAGAAATGATGAAGAATTGAAGTTTTAATGAATATTATTTGAAGCTTGATGTATTTTTCTTTTTTTTCTTATTGTTCTTTATATATTTGCTTATAAAAAATATAGTTTTTTTAATTAATTCAGAGGATTTTGCTAGGAGGAACTTGTAGGATACTTTCAAGCACCTGGCTGAGGAATGAACTTCCTGCAGCTAGTTACTTTGCAGAAATGTAGAGGTGTGAATGGAGCTAAAAGTCATTCTTCTTAAAATAATTTCCTTATTTTTAAATTATTATTATTATTAAACTTACTGTTGGGTTTCTAAGTCCAACATTTTTCAGGAAGGAAGGTTGTGATTGTAGTGAAAAACTTGTTGATCTGACATCTTCCAGCAAGTAAGGAAACCTGGCCATTAATTAAGGTTCCTGTCTTAGGCACTAAGCTGGAAAATAGGCCTCTTCCCAAAGATGAACATATCATACTTTAGTTTCCACATCCAGCTTCACACTTTCTGCAGGCTCCAAACAGAAAATATGGCATATTAATAGCTAACTCCTGATACTGTCAGATTTTATTTATTTTTGTTTATTCTGTTATTATTGAAAATTGCTCCAGGCTGCATGTGTATTCCTTCGACTGGCAATACAAAGAAGAAATGCTTGCTGTTTTTCCTTTAGTATACAGTATTCTTTTGCCCAGCTGCAAAAATAATAGAAGTAGCCAGACAGTGCTCTAAATTGACTGGCTCATTATCCAAAATACATTATGGTACTAGCATGCACAGTTCAAATATCACTTTATCATTTCTCATGCGAATCATGAAGTACGTAGGCACTGTATTGTCTATGAAGCTTTCTTCAATTATTCCTTCTTATTCCAATCCACACCCTTCAGTTAGAAAAGCATGAATAATGAGCAACGCAGGGTGACAAGCCATCATAAGAAGAGAAGAAATAAAGATGGAATGACACTTAGTTTCTACAGTACATTCTGTACATAGCATAAATCAGACACAAAGGGATTTGAAAAAGGCAGAAAAGAAAAGAATTAAGATGGAAAAGGCTTATAAATTTCATTGATTTATCTAAATTGAGAAAATTAGTGATTCTAGCAAGGAACAGTTGGGCACAGTTTATGCATGAAATTTATGCATTAATCCCTTCTATTTGAAAAGTTAGTTCCCTAAGACTTTGCGTCTGAAGTCTGAAGAAAACAGTCAGCTTCAGCTCCCAGAATCATGTTATGCCATATTTCAACATGTGTGGGATGGAGGAGCCATCATAGGAACATATAAAGAACTGTCAGTTTCTAAAGGGCAAGAGGCAGCAACTCTGTGTGACGAAGGCATTTCCTAAAATCCCCAAGAGCAAATTTTGCTGCTAGAACAACAACAACAAAAAAAAATTAACTCTTTAAAAGCACAAGTCAAAATTTACATGGATTAGAACAGAACTAGATATTAGTGATGTGAAATAAAGCCCATCAGTTTCAGTGTACCTCAAGAAAATGATAAACAGAACTTTGATACCAAAACGTTTCAGCAAATTTCAGTTCTATGTGACCTTTTCAATGCAGGAACAAAGTGTTAATATGGTAAACAAAAACAGCATATTTATCACTCAAAAATTGTTGCATAGTTACAGAATGTTCCAAAAATGCTTTGTGCAAAATGGAGCCAGATTAAAGCCAATTTCTCAATTCACTTCATAGCTTCCATACCTGATTGATTTCTGACTGAAGAGGTCATGGACTGAGATGGGGATGTCAAACAAACAACCTTTAAAAGTTTACTAAATTCTCTCTCAAGGTCAGTTTTGGGAAACTTTCCCTGAAGATTCATTACTTCTGTGATTATAGTGAAAAAACATCTAGAGAAGTTAAACAGGATGTAACTACCACATAATCCCAGAGGATTACAAATCCACGTGCATAAGCATAAGAACCATGTCATTGCATAACATGAATTGTGAACCTGATCTGCCAGGAAATCTGTTTCTGTAGGTTCCTTACAGCTAATGAGTGAGAGAGGGAGCTCTGTCTTACTTCTAGGACAGTTAGACTGGTTGTCTTCTGGAATTCTCATTTCCTATATAGATTGTTTGATGTTATAAGCTCTTGTAAATCAGTGAGATACAGAAGTTATTTGCATATTGATGTTAGTAGACGATAACATTACTTCTGGTTTTCAGCATTATCACTCTGGCAGCTTGCTCTTAAATTCATTTAACAGTTTTTAGAAGGCTAAAAACACATTCAGCTGACAAGTTTCATTAACAGAAAATTGATAGGATGGCACGCATGATCAAAATTTGTGTTTTTGCAATAAACACATCATGGTGTAAAAAAAATATATATATAGTCTGAGTGCAACTAGTATAAAACAAATGCATAAAATAAGTAAAATATATACATGCAGGATCTAAACTTGTTTTTTGCCAATCCAATAAAAAAAATTTCTTAGAATTGTTCATGGTAATGGGAAATTGTAGATCCCCATACAGTGTGGTACAAACTAGCTAAGGAAAAGCAAAATCCCTTTGAAATATATAGAAAAATCATGATGCTTGTCAAACTGAAAATGAACTGGGTAGTACTGGATTTCAGAACTGCTTATGTTTGATTTTGACCAGAAAAAAAAAGTAAAGCAAACATCTTATTAATAAAGCCCATGGCAGCATGGGAGTTTTGTTCAGCTGCAGTTATCTCTGGTGTAATATAAACCCCATCTCCATAATGTAGTTTTTTAAAGTGCTTCAAATGATAAGAAATTAGATGACTTAATTGTATAACTGTGAAGTGCATCATGCATCCCCCTGGCAGAATGTGTATTTCTAAATGGAGAAACAAAAGTAGAATATTTATTTAAATTCTGATCTGAAAAATAGTATTAAATATAATTTTTGTGTGTGTGAGAAAATAAAACAAGCAGTCACAATCAACTATGTTGTGTAAAATAATCAGTGCTATTTTGACTGTAGCTCGAAGTAAGACTCTCTCCCAAGGGATAACACTCATTGAATTCGCCACAAGATGGAGCCCAAGGGACCTGCGAACCAGTTGTTAGCGTTGCCCTCCAGATAAAGAACAAAATAGTGCTGTCTTTATTATACAGAAAAACCTATTTTATGAGAGACTTTAGTAACAGACAAGGTACTTTTCAATATTAATCCACTCCTGCCTAAAGATGTTTTTCATTTTGTAGACCACTGCTGTTATACATCGGTGTTTTTTGGCTTCCACTGCTGAGGAAGCAAAACCAAGGCGTTTTCCAGGAAAACAAATGTAGAATTTACATGAAATATGGAAGATAGACTGAAAAGTACACATTGAATATCAGAAATTTGCTTGGCCTCTGTACGCTTTGTCTCAGCAATCTCAGAGAAAATAAATAATGAATGTGCATTCGGCAGGGCTGAGTCTTAATGCTCTCATTCAAAACCACCATTAAGTGATGGCCAGAT